CCAACTTCACCAAATAGGAATCCTCATTTACAGAACAGGAAGAGTGTTTTATTTTTCCCTTTTTTTAAAAAAAATTACCAAAAAAAAAAAAAATTAATTAAGAAAATTTTTTAGGTAAATCTTCAATTAAGCAAGGACTTCTGGTATTTGCTAATTGGAAAATAATAAAGAAATTTATTCCTGTATATAATTATGACATAAATGTGTAAATAGAAATGGCTTAGGAAATAGTACAGATTTTTAAAAAAATCTTTCAAGTCCACGTTTTTCTGGACAATTACCAATACATGTTAAATGTAGCTATTTTGAATTTAAATTAAGATATTTGCTTTTTAACCCAGCTGTCAAGGGTGTAAATCAGGAAATAGCAATAACTGAATATTTCTCTTGAATGTACATGAACTGTTTTTCTGGTAATGTGGTATGTTCAGAGAGGCATTCACATGGAGTTTCTCAGGCTACTTTACTTCAAGTAAGGTACCAACTTGTGAATTCTCAAAGCAGTTAAGTGTAGTATTCAAATGCTTTTGTCTTTTACAAAGTTGGTAGCTTTTATATGTTACTTAGTATTTTAGGTGTTAAAAAATGCATTGTAATCAGTGGTTGCCAAGAGTTAGGGTTATAATTATAAAGGGAAGTGCAAGAGAGTTTCTTTGTGGTGATGGAACAATTTTGTATCTTGATGGTGATGTAGGTTACATGAATTTATACAGTCTTTAGTGTACATCCAAAAAAAAGTCTGTATAAAAACTGGTAAAATCTGAATAAGGTCTGTTGTGTGGTTTAGTTAATAGTATTATACTAAATGTCAATTTACTGTTTTTGATAATGTCCTATGGTTATGTGAGATGTTTTTCTTTTGGGGAAAGTGTACATGGGAACATTGTATTAGTTTTGCAACTTCTTGTGAAATCTAAAATTATTTTAAAGTTTAAAAAAATGCTATTTATACTTCTATTCAGTATACTAACCGATTAAAAAAATACTTTCATGTTTCTTAGAGCCAGATGTGCAACTTTAGTTTTTAACAGAGTTCTTGAGGACTAAATGCTATTTACTTATATTCAGTCATTTAGTAACTGTTCATTAACTGTCTACAGTTGGAGGCATTACAGTGTCTTAAGAAAATGGGCTTTGGAATTGGCTCTGGTTCAAATCCAGGCTCTGCTACTTTTAGCTGTGTGAACTTGGGGAAGTTACTAAATCTCTCTGAGCTTCAGTTTCTCCATCTATAATGGGCATAATGATAATGATACACACTTATTGAGCATTATAATACGTGATGAGTTATTATTTGCACCGTATATAATTTAACTCATTTAATCCTTATAACAATCCTATGAGAAAGGTGCCATTTTAACATTTTCAAATGAGGAAACTTAGGCACAGAGAAGCTAAGTTACTTGCACAAGGTCACTCAATTGGGAAATGCTGGAACCTAGATTAAAACTCAGCTGGATTTTCTGTTTTTGCTATACAGAACTAGCTTGTTGATGACCAAGTGTCCCACCAAGAACAACTAAAAAGAAAAATAAAATTTAATTAAAAAATTTGTTTGAAGGGTTTTGAGACCTACCAGGGGAGCCAGGACATTATAGGCCACCATCCTGAAGTCACGGGAAGCCTAGAGAAGTTGCCTGGTGTTCAGTGTGACCCTTCCCCTTAGGGCATTTGCTGATTTGTAAGTTGTGGCTGAGAGACTGAGAAGATGAGCAGAAAGTGGTCCCAGAAAGTTGGGGAGCTGAGCAGACCTGTCAGTCTTATAGACCTTGTAGACAAAACTTTGGGTTCAGGCGCCAACAAGGAGGAGGAAGCCTGGTAGATACTGGAGTCTTGGTTGGGGGAGGAGTGAACCAGAAATGGACAAGGCCTCCCAAAGATTGAAGCTCAGCTTCTAATCAGCTCAGTTTGTTATTGGTTTAGGGTAATCTGCCCCTACTCTTAACTGCCTGCCAGAAGCCGAAGTGAATGCTTTCTGGAGAAATATAAAATCATTCTAAGCCTCAAGTTATTTACTTAATTTTCCACAAACGAAGTCTGGCACTTAGTCAGAAATCATTAGGCATATCAGGCAACCAGACCAAATTATTCAAAACGGAGAGGTATAAGTAGTGGAGTTATCAGATTTGCTTTTTAAATAAGATTAATATATTCAGAAATTTATTTAACAAGATGAAGAACTTCAGCAGAGAATTAGAAACTATAAAAAGGAATCAGGTGTATATTTTCAAACTGAAAACTGAGATTAAGAATTCAGTAGATGACTTTATCAAGCAAAAGAGAGATTATAAAAAAGGATTAGACATTTTTTGAGAACCAAAGTGTAGAGAATTTCTCATTAGCAGACCTGCACTTAAGAAAATCCAAAGTGCGTTCTTTAGGCAGAAGAAAAATGATCCCAAATGGAAGCACAGAAAGGGTATAGAAAGGACAGAAAGGGTAAATTTGTGGGTATATCTAAATGAATGTCTTATAGAGTTTAAACTATATGGAGAATTAAAGAATACTTAATGGTAGCACAAAGATGGGACAAGAATAAATGATGTTAACGTTCTATGGTTCTTTTATTGTCTTGGTGATGTGTAAAGTACTAATTTAATTCCTACATTGAACATTGTAATCTCTAGGGCAACTACTATAATAGTAACATAATGTATAAATAACAAGCTACCACAGAGGAAATGAAATAATGAAACATTTGACACTAACGCAGGCAAAAAAGGAGAGAAAAAGGAACAGAAGAGGACAGGTGGTTCAAATAGGAAACAGTACAACGGTAGATTTAAATCCAAATAGTTAATTAACTATGTTAGATGTAAATAGACGTATACTGATAAAAAATATAGTCAGATCTGGTTTTGTTCTAAAAGAGCCCTGGCGGTCCAGTGGTTAAGACTTCGCCTTCCAATGCTGAGAGTGTGGGTTCGCTCCCTGGTCAGGGAGCTAATATCCCACATGCCTGGCAGCCAAAAAACCAAAACATAATACAGAAGCAATATTGTAACAAATTCAATAAAGACTTAAAAAAAAAAAGGTTCACATCAGAAAAAGAATCTTTAAAAGAGCCGGTTATTTACAGCTTGTAAGAGTTGTAGCTTGAAGTTTAGGATACAGAAAAGTTGAGGGAATTCCCTGGCGGTCCGATGGTTAGGGCTCTGCTCTTTCACTGCCGTGGCTTGGGTTGGATCCCTGGTTGGGGAACTAAGATCCCGCAAGCCGCACAGCATGGCCAAAAACAAACAAACAAAAAAGAAATGTTGAACGTAGAGTTGGAAAAAGGGTATACTGTGCAAACTTAACTAAACCAGCCCTGGTTCTTGTACCATGCTGTACCTAGCTCATAATTTGGTTGCTAGATTTAAATCAGATAATCTTAGAGGTTTCAAAAGCAATGTCCTCTGTATGTGTTAGGTACCCAGTAAATTTAACTATTACGTCTGAGGCATCTTGTTTCTTTTTTTTAAATATAATGTTTTTCTTATTAAAGAAAATTTTCAACTGAAGTATAGTTGATTTATAATGTTGTTAGTTTCAAGTGTACAGCAAAGTGAGTCAGTTATACATATATATATTCTTTTTCAGATCCTTTTCCATTATAAGTTATTATAAGATATTGAATATAGTTCTCTGTGCTATACAGTAGGTCTTTGTTGTTTATTTTATATATAGTAGTGTGTAAACTCCTAGTTTATCCACCCCCCTTCTCCTACCTTGTTTCTTAAAATAGTATTCTTTTTTCATTTTGAGTCGATAGACCAAGGACAATGTCTCTTGTACCATTGTATGCATCTGACTCATAGGTTGCTTGATTTTTCAGTAGCTTCCATATATACACATTTTATCCCTTTTCAAGTTTTATGTTTTCATTTAACTCACCATCACAGCTGTTATCTCTTATCTTTATTTAAAATCTATTCTGTGGTGCCTCTGCCTACTGATAATGTATGAATTATTTTATGCTGAAGTAATCTACTTTGAGTATTATCTATAGAGTTTCCAAACAAATGACATTCTTCCTTTTTTCCCCTGTACTTTTATGAAAATGTTCAAATTCTTCAGAATTATTCTTTTATAAATTATCATCCATATAATGAATATAGGTTTCCTCAGTCATGTCACCTGTCTTTTGGCATGAGGGCTTTTTGAAGAATAGGTAGTCGTGTAATTATTTATAAAATAATACCATAGAACTAATTAGAGAATCCTGTCTGGATCTTTGCTTTGTATGACAGTCTGTCGTACATTGGTTAAACATCAATTGGAGACATCTTAAAAGGCTTTTGTTCTGTTCTGCTTTTGATGTTTCATTTAGCTTTTTGGGAAGTCACATTGCTTTTTGTTGGACTGAAGGAAAGGATTAAAAATGATTAAAATGATTATATTGAGCCAGATCTGAATTAGATCTGAATCCAAAATTAGTTTCCCTAGACAACCAAAACAGTGGTAATTTTGGATTGAATTTGGCCTTCTCCCCATAGGTTAGTGGGTACATTTGTATCTGTGGAATATTATAAGCCTTTCAGAATTGGCTAGACTTAATGAGGGCTTTTCTTTGGGGTTTCTTCCTCTTTTAGGACATGTGAAAATGAAATTTGCCGTAGTTAATTTGGTGGATAGCAGTAAAACCAAATATCTGTGTCCTTTCTTTCTGAATATGAGGCTTAATACTGAAAGTTTTAAAATAACCTTTTTCTTATAAATTTTAACTGATGTTAACAAAACTGTGTGAGTTTTTGCAATTTAAGTAATAGTTTCTTCATAGCAAGTCATCTGACCTGGACTGTCAAGGAAGTTAACTACTAGGGATGGTAGAACTCATTAATTTTGGTTTCATTCCTGTATTTATTACTATTCATTTCTCTTTGAACAGGTTGTTCCTTTCAACAGCTTTTGATGAAATTCAGGAACATACTTTTTTACTTGAGCAATTGTCATGAGTAAAAATGAAGTAGGAAAATAAAATCGCAGATTAATGAGAGCCATGTTGTATTGTTCACTAGGCAGTGAAATCAGCTGTGCAGACCATCACTGTTGGAGGAGTGAGCACATCACAATTTAAGACAATTATTCCTCTGGCAACTGCTCCCAATGTCCAGCAGATTCAAGTGCCTGGAAGCAAGTTTCATTATGTCCGACTTGTTACTGCCACAACAGCCAGTAGCTCAACCCAGCCAGTTAGTCAGAATCCCAGTACAAACACTCAGCCTCTTCAGCAAGGTTAGTAACCATTTTTTTAAAAACAATAATTAATGCTTTGAACATTATTATAGAAATTGGTCCTTTTCTTGCTGAAATCCTGATTAAGTATGGCATTTCAGCTGAGTATGAATCAGCAGCTGTTGCAGAAGGCAGTGAAATAGAATCCCAGTTGTATATAACTATAGTATTTTGTTCTGCTAGAAACTGATACACAGTGTGCTGTAATACCAGATAATCATACTTAGTCATCAATTTGTGGGTAGCCATTTTATTGCTGGTTTAAAAGCCTACATTATGCCAGTGGGATAGTTTAAATGGAACCAAATGATTTATCTTATTTTCTAAACTACAAAGCTGTCTAAACTACACAAGGTTTGGGGGTCAGTTGAAATGACCAGTAGGCAAGGTATAAATGATAAGTATGAACTTTCATCCTTTACTTATTTTGAATCTGTAATTGCTAATGAAAATCAGTTAAAATGTTTTTATTTTACTCATTGGTATTTTTCCTGAAAAGTATTCCTGTTTGTAGTCCTACTTTGTTTGTGTTTAATCCTTCCAGCCACCTGATATACATACACAGACTCAAACACATAACCTTTCTCCATATTTATCTACTTGTTAAAAAATTGAAACTGTGAAAGGATGAGGACAGTTTATATCTGGGGCCTAATTTTTTTCCTTGGAAGACTACTGCATATTCTGTCAATGTCAAAATGACGTGGCAAGTGAATGATCTATTGTTTGCTGGATGTAAATAGATGAATTAAAGACCATTTGTTTGCGCCTTCAGTTTTATTAAGGAATCAGAGGGTTGGAGCTGTCCATTGCTGATAGCTAGTTCATCTAAGGGAAAGTGGAAGAAAAATCTTGGATTTTAAATTACTGATGGGAGAAAATGGAGGGTGCATGAGGGAAACAGTATTTTAGTGTGTATTCTATTAAAATTAGACATAATTATATAAAATAGTAATTATATTTTCTATTCCCTCTTTAAACTGATTTTGAAAGGAAATCTTTTATTACAGTGTTCTTAATGAGAGGAAAAATGAAATTTGCGTGTACTGCTGACTGAGGAAGTCAAGTGTATATTCTCTCAGTACTTAGCAAGTGCTACTAAGTGCTACAAGTCCAATTTTCTTATATATCATAATGATATAAAGCAGTCATTAGATATAGTTGGTTATATTTTATGTGTATACACACAAATGCTGAGTATCCATTTCCAGCATAACGTTAGCACTGATTTACTCATTATCAAGCATAAGCGTTTGGTATGAGTAGAAGAGGAAGCTGAAGATCCAGGAAGAGTGGAGGAGCGGGTTGGACATTTCATAATTCTAGTGTATTTACCATTTCCTTCTTTTCCAACCTTATGTCTGTCTTTCTGCTTCTCTCTACTTCGCTGTTCTCTTTGCCTCCTAGCAATCCCTCACCCCTCTCCTGCTTCCCTGCTGCTTCCTTTTTTGCTTTCCTTCACTTTCCCTCTCTGTTCTCCCCTCTGTCTCTCTGGCTTCTCCACCTCCCTCTGTATATTCCCTCTTCCCACCTGCTCACATACATATGCCACCCATGCTATTTCCCTCATATCCACCCATATTTCCCTATTTTTGTCTTGCTCTCCTATCCCACAAAAGATCTGGGTATATGTAAAATATATTATTTCATAGGAATAATGAGTTAAATTTACAATCTTCTTTAGAGATACACTGAATAGTTGCTGTAGTTCATAAAATGTATTGATGTGTTTTTCTAAAGGCTTAATTCCGTATGAGGGATTTACTTAAATGCCAAAGGGAATTGGGCTCATCTTGTACATTTTCCCATCAAAGCCATACAAACACCAGTATTCAAACGTTCCACCATATTAATTACTGGCTGGATGGCAGGTAGCACAGTAAAAGGACCCAGAAGATTGCTTGGTTAATCTCTTTAGAATATAATCTACAATCTTGGTTAGGGAGGAAATCAATTTAAGAAATTAAAAACCCTCAAACACTTGCAGGTATGGTTTCTAAAGTTTCAAAGGAGACTGTTCTGAAAGGATTGTTCAGAATTGCTATTAAAGACCAAAAAAATTAAAGATTATGCCAGCATCTATGAAAACTGCAGTAGTGGTAATGTGGGACCATGCTCAAAAGTTGAGGAGGAAGCAACTATGCCCCAGTTTAAAAAAAAAAAGTTGAGGAGAAATCCAGACTATTGACGTAGTTATATAAGTATGACCCCCTTCCCATGTATATTTTATACTGTTCTTTTTTCTGACCACTACGTTTTCTGTTTTCTGCATTCCCCAGATTTCAGTTAAAACGCAGCATGCGTATGCCAAGCTAATGTAAACCCAGAATTCCCCAGTTTTCTAGCTCTGTGTGCGTGCGTGCGGACACTTCCCTGTCCTATCCTTATGAGAATCATCCAAGTCTCCCATGGGATGTGGATAAAGGCAGGACACACACTCCTTCCCCGTCATTTCACAGACCACCAGGAAGTTCCTGCATTTCTCTAGCTGTGCAGTTACCTCAGAATTGCTGCTTGTGTGCTCGTGAAACAGTGACTGTCATTGCCTTGTCAAGGAACAAAGTGGTATAGGGTGTCCTCTCTTCGGTGTCCCAAGCACGAATTCAGGCTTTTAATTCCTTATAGTATTGCTACAGTGGTTATTATAATCAAAACAGAACAGGAAACAATTTCAAATCGGGTATCAGATGTCATGGCACTGCTCCTGTAATTCATGGTCATACACTCTTTTTGTATAGCAACTTTATTGAGATACAGTTCTCATCTACCATAAAATTCACCCTTGTTAAATACAGTACAGTTTAGTAGTTTTTAGTATATTCAGAGATATGCGATCACCACCACTGATCATACGCTCCTTCTGGAGGTCTCCCACCTTCCCACCTACCCACTTCTCCCTAGTTTGTCACCTTGCTGCCAGGGCCTGCTCCCTTTTAGATCTGAGTACCCTCTCTCTAATGTTCTTCCAGGGCTCTCAACTTCTCATCTTCAGCCATCAATCCTTCCATCCCCACCAGAAGTAAAAAAAAAAAATTGTTAACATTATTAACAGTCTTTCTATCCAAGGAAGTCTGTTCTTTTTCTTTTATTGTTCAGAACAGTTTGTTTGATTCAGTGTTCACAGCAGTTTAGATCCCGTTATCTCAACCTCTCTCTTTCATAGCAGGCTCTAGGCCTTTTGCATAAATAAGACCCGAAGGGATGTCCTTTCAGTCTTCTTAAATCCCTCCTTTAGACTGAGGAAGTGGCAGTAGGCAGTATTAGAAATGGTACTTCTTTTGATCCAAACATACAGGTCTAGTACCAACCTGTTTCCTGAACTTCATCACTGTATTTCTGCATGTCAGGTTTCATCTTCCCTTTAGATCAACTCATCCTTGAATTTTAAATTCTAATAGCTGTCATTTTCCCATTCACTTGAAAGCTCCATGATAACCGATTTTTTTTCCCTTGTACCTACGGTTCCTGCCGTCCTTTCACCTCCACCCTGTCTCTTGCAGCTGTTCTCTCCTTTCCATTCCCAGTGCCATCACCGCAGATTAGACTCTCATGTTTTGTACTCTTCTAACTTTCTTTGTTTCTTGCAGCTCTGTTCTATTTTACATACTGCTGCCTTGTACAGTTTCTTTTTGTGCCATTCCAAGGATGTTTCCGGACATCACAGTCCTCAGAAACTTCTCATTGCCTGCTGAATTAATAATACAGATTAAATATACAGATGTCTACCCTTACATTCAAGGCCTTCAACAAAACAGCCACAGTCTGCCTTTTTTTTTTTTGCCAGTGCTTGCCTACTTTAACCCTAGGTTCCAGCCAAACCGGTCTGTCCCGTAGCACTTTGTGAAGTGCCCAGCATCAAGCCTCCACTTCTCTTGCTCTGCCTCTGTGTGAACTGCCCTCCTCCAGTCTGTATGCCCGCTCTGCAGCCTGACCATTGGTCAGGACTGTCTCAGACACTGTCCTCTATGCAGCTTTCCCCGTTCCCAGCCCCTGCCAGTCAGATGTATGTTCTGTCTCCTTTGCTCTCCCACAGTGCTTTCTCTTTTTTTTTTTTTAATAATGTTTATTTTATTTGGATACTCATCTAATCTGCTCTACTTGAATGTAGTCTCTTTGAGCAGGTGTCTTGTACTATAGTTTCCCTGGAACACTGTCTACAGTGACATTTATGTAGCAGTAATGGTTGTAATAACAACAAGAACAATAACAGTAATGGGAACTAACGTTTATTGAACACTTACTATCTGTTGAGCACTGTTGTAGTAAATTTTCATGAATTAACATATTTATTTCTCTTACCCTGTAAGGGAGATACTATCCCTATATTGCAGATGGGGATACAGGCAAAGAGAATTTAAGTAGTTAGAAAGCAGCAGAATTGGGATTTGAACCCCCAGGGTCTTATGATTTAGGAGACTACATTCTTTTTTTTTTTTAGTTTACTTTTTATTGAAGTATAGTTGAATTAAGGAGACTATATTCTTAACCTTGCTGCTATGCTGCCTTTTAGTAGTACTCTGTAAATAATGAATTGTACACAGAATTAGAAATAGTATAGAACAGCATTGTTACCCAAGTTCCTGAATGGCAGTTTTTAATTTATGCATCATTTCATCTCACTGGATTTAGTAGTGAATATATAAAGCATCTGAATACAGATTGAAGTATTTTCAGTAGAATATCTTAAATGACAGACATTCTCTCATAAAGTGGATAGACTATAGCTACCTTAGATATAAGTTCCCTAGTTAGATGGGTTAAAGAATTTTGAAAGTAACTGTCTTGATTAAAGATTCCTCCAAATAGGAAACCAGTGGAATTCTTTAAGCTGTCTCATGAGGATATCCTGAGGGAACTAAGTATCTTAAATGTTTTAAATACTATTTTCTGTAAACAAACTGTCCTTTTCCTCCCTCCTTTTTACAAAGCAAAGCCAGTGGTCGTTAATACCACCCCAGTGCGGATGTCAGTGCCACTTGTCTCAGCGCAGACTGTCAAACAAGTGAGTATCACATCACTTCTTCTCTCAGTCTCTCCCAAACAGACAATTTACTTTTAAAATTGAAAGTTAAGATTTACGTTTAAGAGATTTATTTATTTATTTATTTTTATTGAAGTATAGTTGATGGACAATATTATATAAGTTACAGGTGTACAATATAGTGTTTCACAATTTTTAAAGTTTACACTCCATTTATAACTACTGTAAAATATTGGTTATATTCCCTGTGTTGCACAGTATATCTTTGTAGCTTATTTATACATAATAGTTTGGACCTCTTAATCCCCTAAGTTTAAGAGATTTATACTGAATTGAGAAACTGTGAAATTTATTTTCGTGGTCATTGACATACTTCCTTTCTTTTTAGGTTGTTCCAAAACCAATCAATCCAACTTCCCAAATAGTCACCACCAGCCAGCCACAGCAGCGACTTATCATGCCTGCCACGCCACTGCCACAAATCCAGCCAAACCTCACGAACCTGCCACCAGGCACTGTGCTGGCACCGGCTCCAGGAACAGGGAATGTAGGCTATGCGGTGCTTCCTGCTCAGTATGTGACTCAGGTATGGGCAAAAAATTAAGTCATCGCATTTCAAAAAGTTTAATTGGGTCTAAGATGTCTAGCATTATCACATTCTAAAACTATTCAAAAACATCTAACTCAGTGTTTAGACTGTTTCCAAAACCTTGAATTGTTAATGAAAACTTCTGAGTTTATTTTTATATATCTTTAGTATTTAGAAATATACAGCACAAGTCAAGTATACAAGTCAGGCAATTTGGAGCTGAGAACAGTTTGGTAGGAGGGCAAGATCATGTAGATATAAGAGAAAATACGTTGAGTTAAAATCAGCAGAGTCCCGGGCTTCCCTGGTGGCGCAGTGGTTGAGAGTCTGCCTGCCGATGCAGGGGACGCGGGTTTGTGCCCTGGTCCAGGAAGATCCCACATGCCGCGGAGCGGCTGGGCCCGTGAGCCATGGCCGCTGAGCCTGCGCGTCCGGAGCCTGTTCTCCACAACGGGAGAGGCCACAACAGTGAGAGGCCCGTGTACCGCAAAAAAAAAAAAAAAAAATCAGCAGAGTCCCAGTGAGTTTAGAAAGCGCTGTGACTGTAATGGAGTTCCTCCTCACATTATGAATACGATGCCGCTCACCTGTTCTTGGAAAATAGACTGTGAGATGCACTTCCAGGTGACATATCGATAGTGATCCGTCCAGATCTGGTCATCTTTAGATGACATCTGGTTATCTTTGGAATCAAAGCCACATATTATCCAATTGGCTGGCTTGGGTTAGGAGTGCTGCTTTCTAGGAAGAAGGTAGAAGTTGTTTTCTTTTTCATGTAAAAATCTAGCAAATTAATTAGCACCATATTCTAAGCTGTTGAGTTGATCTACTCAAGATTATAAGAGAGACAGAAACCTGTGTACTTTAAAGAAGTGTACTTTGGAGTATGTTATGTGGCTACTGATTGAAAAAATTAGTGTTCAGTATTTTTATCATTAGCATCTCTTTTCTTATGTTTAGAAATCAGTGTAAAATAGAAACTTAATTATTACGTATGTAACTTCTCATTCTCTATAACTTGTGATAAATGATCACATTTTATTTATTTTATTTACAAGTAGACACATTGCATTTTTCTAGCCAATACAAATTTTACTACAGTACTTTCAGGACATTCATCTGGAATTTCCTAATTCTGATATCCTGTGAAAGAATTTCTTACATTTATGCCATGTAGTACTTTAAAATGTCCACATTGTTTTTACCTCTGGTATTAGTTTTGGGTCTTTAGAAGAGCTCTATGAGGTGTAGTGAGTATGTTTGTATGAAATTCTCCGTTCTGTTTTTCCTATTTTAATAGATGAATTTGTGCTTCTTACCGATCATTATATTTAGGAGTATTGTCTATTTTTGTAAATATGGTCTGAAATTACCTTTCTTTATATGTAGCTACAGCAGTCTTCCTATGTGTCTATAGCAAGCAACTCTAACTTTACCGGAACACCTGGTATCCAGACCCAAGCAAGGCTTCCGTTCAATGGGTGAGTGAGTTATTTGAATATATGTAAGTTAAGTTGTTTGATCAGGTTAAATGCAACATCAAATATACATATATATTTCAAAATACATGTATTTAATTTTTTTCCCCTCAAAGCCATGTGAGTGTGCCTCTGCGGTACTTTTTATTTTGAAATACTTTAAACAGAAAAGTTGCAGGAATAGTCAGAGAACTCCCAAATTATCTTTTACTCCGATTCACCAGTTCTGGTACAGGTGATTTGTTATTTTCTCTCTCTTTTCTCTTTTTCGCTGTCTCCTCCTTAATATGTTTTAAAAATGATATTAACTAGTTTTTAAATTGTTATTTAGGTCTTTGCTTTTTCTTTTGCTTATTTGTTTTTTAATCTGTCAATTGCTGCCTTTGCAGTATTGAGAAGCAGTGCTTTAGTTAATTACATGGAACCAGTCTACCTCTCCTCTCCCCTCCTAAATTCCAACTTCACACACCCTTTTCTACTTACTACCTTTCATAATTGAATCCCAAAGAGTTTAGAGATTTCAATTTTAGTTCTCCTAGAAGAAAGAGTATATTTTGTGGAATGTTCTTCAGAAACTATTGATAACTTCCTTTTCTTTTTTTTTAATCCATATCTTGGCTCTCTACCTTTCTTTTCATGGTACAGCTTGCTTTTCAACTTAATGTAAATGGAACAACATAAACTTTTATTAGAGATGGGTACATTTGTTAAAGCTTTATTTTAGGAGGAATTTACAGATTAGAGACTTTTCTCAGTTTAAATAGTTACCTTTAATTGATTAAAATGTATATCTTTTTGTTTGTGTCTGTGTAGCATAATGCCATCAGAGTCTGCCAGTCGGCCCAGAAAGCCTTGTAATTGTACAAAATCGCTGTGTTTGAAATTGTAAGTCCTTTTGCTGCTGTTTCCTCATTTGATATAACTGAAAATGCTTTTAAAAGTAAGTGGAGTTGGGCTTCCCTGGTGGCGCAGTGGTTGAGAGTCCGCCTGCCGATGCAGGGGACGCGGGTTCATGCCCTGGTCCGGGAAGATCCCACATGCCGTGGAGCGGCTGGGGCCGTGAGCCATGGCCGCTGAGCCTGCGCATCCGGAGCCTGTGCTCCACAACGGGAGAGGCCACAACAGTAAGAGGCCTGCGTACCGCAAAAAAAATAAAAATAAAAAATAAGTGGAGTTAACTAAAAATTCTTAACAGACCAATTTCATAAGTCTAAGTAATTAAACATACGAGTGAATGAACACATACGACGGTGTAAAAAGACTCTTTCATTTATTCAGAAGGAAATAATTTTAGAGTCTTTACTACAGATGAGGCACTGGAGTAGGGCTTACGGATCCAGCTGCATGAGACAGACATGATCTCTGTCCTTACTAATAAATGTGATCTTATTTAGGACCTTTATATTTGGTCTCTTAAATGAGATGATACTCTGAGTAGTTTTTTTTAACTTGTTGATTAATTTGCTTGTTAGTACTGAAGAGATTTGACGTGAAACAGTTAAATAAAAAGCAGTGGTCTTATGGGGGTTTAGAATCCAAAGAAACGTGACAGTAGTTCACGTGAGCAGGTTCCACTAATATAATAGAATATAGCCCATGTTTTTCCTTTTTGTGATTTTGAAATAACTTACTTTTGGGGTGCATAAAAATCACATAGCTCTTGTGTTGACAGCTGTTACTACTGGAACTAAGTTTCTAAACCAAAATTCTAGGAGCTGGTGACTTTACTTTTGGGCCTTGTCAGTACCTGTTGTTAACTCTATAAGTTGGTGGCTCTGAATACATTTCTAAAATGCTTTACTGCATATATAATGATAATTTCTAGTTTTGTTTCTCTTAAAAATGACTTTTTTATATGACTTACAATGATTTTTATATTCCAGATACTGTGATTGCTTTGCAAATGGTGAATTTTGCAACAACTGCAATTGTACTAATTGTTATAATAACTTGGAACATGAAAATGAAAGGCAAAAAGCAATAAAGGTGATTATTTCTTGTTTCATTTAACTGACAGAAGTTTACAATTTCACCTGTTTTTTTGTTGAGCTCAAGTATTTTATGAAGAAAATTAATTCCCTTTGCAGAATTTAAGTTTAATCTACTGTGATTTAACATCACTTGATATTTGATCTGTTTTGATAGGCATGCCTTGACAGAAATCCAGAAGCTTTTAAGCCCAAGATAGGGAAAGGAAAGGAGGGAGAATCAGATCGACGTCACAGCAAAGGATGTAATTGCAAACGATCAGGATGTCTTAAAAACTACTGTGAATGCTATGAGGTGAGTTGAGGTTGGGAAAAATAATCTAACCATCTTTTGAAAATAACTTCAGAAAGTGCATACAAAAAAAATTTACTTGTAAACTGGGAAATTACTTTGCAATTGCAGTTTGAAAATATTGCAGTTTGAAAAGTCAGCCCAAGGGCCCTAATTTGAGGAAGACCTACCTTCTCGCCTCCCAAGCAGGGCTTCAGAGTAACAGTACCTTTGTTTTGTCATTACAGCTTGGGGTCTCATTAGCAGAGTTACCAGCTCATAACTTCGTGGTCATTGTACCTGAAAGTATGCAAACCACAGCACCAGTTTGTTGATTTTCAATAACAATAACATCAAAGTGGACTGGACACTCTGTAGTAGTGGTTCTCCACTGAGGGGTATTACTACCCAGTTTCTCCCCTACAGACTTTTCGGAAATATATACGGATAATAGCCTGCATTTCAGGGTGCAGTCCTGAGAGTATAGTCTTATCTTGTTCCAAATGCTAGTAGTGCCCTGTTGAAGAACACTGCTCTGTGGAAAATTAAATTATGTTAGAAGGTTTGCCTTGTGAGCATAAAAATAGGTAAGGAGGAATATGTAATTGCTGGATGAGGTTATTGGCTACTGTGAGGTGACTGCATCCATTTTACCATCTAATCATCCCACTCAACTGGCTGTTTTTATTTATGGGTCAGGCAGCATCTTTTCTGGAAAATGTATATTGAAACTCTGCTTTGATAGATGCCGTGTAAATGATCCACTTGTTTCAGACAAAGTACTATATAGTTTGTTATTTTTATTTTCAAAGCTTAAAGAAAGCAATCTAGTCATACCCAAGATTAATCCAAGGTTACTACAATTGGTTTCTTGGTGCGTCCGAAACTCATTCCTACGGCAGTTGGCTCTTCTCATCTGTTATATTTTCATTCGTTCAGATTTCATATGCAGAGGGAAACCTTATTTTAGTTTTGGCCAAAGGCCTGGCCTGGTAAAGTAATACCAGCAAGTACTGCACTCTCCCTTGGCCAGGTGTGCTCTGCTCTAGGAGCGCGTACCTGCAGCCCAGTGCCCCACCCCCATACCAGGTGTGTCGTAGTAAAGATTTTGTGTACTGTATTCTCTCTGTAGTGAATTCTTAATTTACATATTTCAGAGGTCAAATACTCCTCTCAAAAACTACAGTAAAGCAACATTTTGTTAGTCCTAAAGTCAGTAGGAGTGAAAATTGCACATAATCAAGATTATTTTTGAAAGTCTCTTAAACAGTGTCGCAGAGTCCAACAAGCCAGTTTTTCATTCACATTGGGAAAGACTGACTCTTGTTTGCACACCTGATGAGATAGGTGGCTTCTGTTCACAGACCGTATCATACAAAAATTGTCATGAATATGTAAGCATGTAAGCTATAAAACCAATTCCACACACAAAAAAGAGAAAATGGAAACTGTTATAAAGCTGGGTCAGAAGGGCAAAGAAAGCCTTTCTTGCATATGGCATTGAACAATCAATACATGCTAAGCATATGAAATTCAGACATACATGAACTAAATAATTGAACTGGTTGACAATTCTGTGAACTAATAGAAGTAGAAAAGGCAGTGGACTGGTTGAAATATGTTAGAAGAGAGAAAGCTGCTCTATCTATTTTGATAAAATCCTTGACATTCAGGACATAAACAATGTCTAATAACTAATATGTTGTTCTAAAAGACCAAGCAATGGAAAAACTTGGAATACAGTGAACTCTGACTAGCAGTGGCCAGTTGGCTCACTGTGAATTACTTATGATGTTGTCTGACAGTTTGTGTTGTTCATCTTTTGAACTGACTTGGCTTTTTTGGTCCAGTTGGTCTGCATCTGGATAAGACATTGATGTCCCTTTCACACGCTTTTCAGGGCTTGTTGATTGAATGAGTGACTGTCCACATTATTTAAGTGATTGTGACTTTTCCTGTGACCTTTTCCCCCCTCCCTCTTTTTTTTTTTTTTTTTTTGGCCACAAGAGAAGTTGAATTAGCAATGCTAAATGGATGACTTGTATTTGTAATTTCTCCCTCCTGAGTTCCTATTAGACATTATTAGTACCTTTCTTATAATTCTTAAAACTTAATCCAAATTACCATTATCAGTATGTCTTCTTCCCCCGGAGGTTAGGAATTTTATCTCTTCACCATTAGATACTTATTATGTATTGCTTCAGTTGGATCCCAGACTGGCTCCTGGTAAATAAGCCGGTTAACTCAAAAGGTATATCCATTTTTTTTTTCCTTTGGTAAATGGAATTTATTAGTGTATTGTAAAAAAGGAGCAGGGTAGGTGTGTTCATAATATGATCCATTTATCTTACTGTAGAGAGGAAGGACAGTAGGCTTGTTTATTTATTTAAATTGATGTGGGTTTGCTCAAGAAAAAGTAGCCAACAAAAGATACTAAAATTTACTAGGAGTCTGGGAAATGTAAATTAAAGAACGAGATCTCACTTTATTAAAAAGAGCTATAGTATACATTGTTGGAGGGAATGTAGGAAAGGCTTCCTTTATCCATTGCTAATGAGATGTGAGGTGTTATAGCCTTTTGAAAAAACAATCTGGCCACATCTATTAAAATTAAAATACATGTACCCTTTGAGCAGTGAGCCCAATTCTAGAAACCTAGCTCATAGAAATAAAAGCGTAATATATACAAAAAAATGTTTTTATGCATTGTTTGTGGAACTCAAGAACTGGAAACAAAACAAATGACCATCAGTAGAGAAGTGAATGCCCAAATAAAATGTGGCACATCCATACCAGGGATTAATAGCCAGTCATTAAACAGGATGAATTCAGCCTATGCCAGATGACTTGGAGGGAGGGATTTCATGAAGTATAGTGTGAGAAAAGGAAGATGCAGAAAAGTGGGTATATGATTATGTAAAACAAACAAAAAAAAAGAAAGACTTCTGTATTGGTGAGTTAATATATGTACATAAAGCCTGTGTTTTTCATAAATATACATATAGTTTATATATCTTTACATGAAAGGACACACTGGTTTAATACGGACTGTTGAAGGGTTTGGGGACTCTGGACAGGGGATTTATTTAGGGAGGGGGAGGTATTCATAATAAAAATAGTGTCTGTGAAATTCCTTTGATATGATACTGTGTGTGTGTTTGCATAAGTGGGAGGTCACCAACATGTTAATGGTGATTTGATTGAGGTGGCTGGATTCTGAATGACCCTTATTTTTGAATATTGTATCACTCATTTTTTAATAAAAGAACATTTGTTATTCATATCAGGAGGAAAATCTATAGTGGGGGAAAATTGGCGTGGAAGGCCTCAAACAAACATAGTATAGCCACTTTCAGAGTGGCCAAGAATACTGGACTTATGCACATGCATAGCTGGCCCCTTTGGTGTTTGTCACAAGAGATGTTTCCATTTTATCTATGTCAGTTGACCAGCTAACTCTGTCACCTATTGACTTGATTGTGGAGTCTACTATAGTGATGTCTTTTGGTTTTGATTTGGAAGCTTTTCTTTTGTAAATCTTTTAGGCAAAAATAATGTGTTCCTCAATATGCAAATGTATTGGCTGTAAGAATTTTGAAGAAAGCCCAGAAAGAAAGACATTGATGCACTTGGCAGATGCAGCCGAAGTAAGGGTACAGCAACAAACAGCAGCAAAGACTAAGTTATCCTCTCAGATTTCGGACTTGCTTACTAGGCCAACACCAGCTTTGAATAGCGGAGGAGGAAAGTAAGTCAATATTTGAATATCTTTTTATAGTATGATATATTCATTTTTGGTGAAGTTTCTTTTTGGGGGCAAAATTGGGCTCATACTTTTGGTTGTTGCACACCTGACTTTTGCATTTTCTGTCTTTAATTACTTGTAAAGGAATTTAAAAGTAACAGAAAAATCACTGTCAGATATATCGTACAGTTCTAAAATGCACAGTAGTGTATTAGGTCACTGTGCTTAATTTAATTGGATTTCTCCCTAATAAGATGAGGGAAATTTGAATAATTTGACAAAAATTTGAATAATTTGACAAACCTTGAAGAAAACCAAAATTTTTATACCTCTTCCTGGTTGTGTTGTTATGCACATTTTTTCACATTCTTACCTTCTTACCTTCCCGTGCCCATGTGGCACTTTCCCCACCCTGTTGGAGAGCCTGTCACACACTGTGTTATTGTACCTCCTTATTTCCCTAGACTGCTGAGCTCTGGAGTAGGAAAGCTGGAGCTTTACAGTCAGGCCGACCTGAGTTTAAATCCTGTCTGTGCTCTGTTGTAATTTGTGATTTTGCCAAGCACTTCACCTCTCTGGGCCTTACCTCGGTTTTCTTATCCCTCACATCACCCTTTTCACGTGGCTCTGAGGAGTAAAGCACAGCTTGGCAGGGCCCATTGCACATAGCATGCTGACTTGAATTTGTATTAGAGAGTTTGTTAGAGGTTAATCTGAGGAATTATTAAATGGAATGAGCCTTGAAAATGGTATTTCATTTAAAATGCCAAAGTTGAAATAAGATCCAACTTATAAAACTTATAAAAGTAAGGCTTTTGTACAAAATATTTCAGATATTAGTTCTAAAGAACTCTTTCTTGTAACTGGAGTATAATCAGCAAAAAGTTCTTGATTGAATGAAGTGGAAATGGACAGACACCTTAATGAGGGGTATCACAAAGGGTCCTTTCTGGTCATCTGCTTTCAGTAAACCTTAGGTTATTAAGTCTAATCTCTATGAGGAGATTAAAGATATTGCTACACTAAAATATTTACAATTAATTTTTCAACTTGGGAAGATGTCTGTTATTATGAAGTGTGACAGAACACAAAATTATGCACTGTTATTAAAACTAAGTATAAAAAAACTGTATTAAAGAAGTCCTACTAGCGTATTAACAAGCTTTTGCCTTTGAGTGGCAAAAATTTGATTTTTTTTTTCCATTTTCTTTCCTGTAGTTTCCAAATACTATATAATGAGTGCTACTGTTATACACTATTAATTACTTTTTCAATATTATTGTAATATTAACTTTATTGTAATATTTTAATATTATATTTTCTAATTTAAAATGCTTTTTATATTTTAAAGATTTCTATACAAATGTATAGCAGCCTAAATCCTGTCACCCTATCTTGTCATAGTGGGCCTTAAGTTCAGACTTCATTCATTTTGTTGTTGTTCTTGTTTTAAAATTTATTTATTTATTTATTTTTGGCTGCGTTGGGTCTTTGTTGCTGCGCACAGGCTTTCTCCAGTTGCGGCGAGCGGGGGCTACTCTTCGTTGCGTCGCGGGCTTCTCATGGTGGTGGCTTCTCTTTGTTGCAGAGCACGGGCTCTAGGCACGTGGGCTCAGTAGTTGTGGCTCTTGGGCTTAGCTGCTCCGCGGCATGTGGGATCTTCCCGGACCAGGGATCGAACCCTTGTCCCCTGCATTGGCAGGCAGATTCTTAACCACTGTGCCACCAGGGAAGTCCCAGACTTCATTCATTTTGTTTTGCAGTTTCCTTCTATCAGTGACTGCTTACTTACAGGTTGTTGAGTTACTGGTTAGATTAGGTTACCTGGTTTTGTTTCTTAGGCTCTACGACTTGGCTACATATAACTAGCCTCGGGATGGATTCCTCTGCTTTAATACTCAATAGTTCAGGTCTTTATGAATAAACTCCATGTACAGAACAGCATTGGGTGTCCCTGTTGTTTCATTTTTGATATCATGGAATAATGCAAAATTTTGGTGCGCTTTTTTTTTTTCACAAACATCATATGGGACTATGGGAAAGTGCTTTATTTTCCATGTTGTCCAGGAGATAGTGCTTTCAATTTCCAATATTATTCATTCATTCAGCAAATATTCATGGGGTGTCTCTGTGTCAGGCACTGTTGTAGGCAGTGCAGAAACAACAGTAAATAAAACAAAAACTGCACTCAGAGCTTATATACATGAATCAGGAGGACTTTTGTTATAGCAGTATCCAGTTAACATGTAGAGTTACATTTCTGTTAACCAGGTAACTTTGTCTAGGTTATATGTATTTTACGTAAAACGTTATATATAATTTTTTTTTTTTTTTTTTTTTTTTGCGGTACGCGGGCCTCTCACTGTTGTGGCCTCTCCCGTTGCGGAGCACAGGCTCCAGACGCGCAGGCTCAGCGGCCATGGCTCATGGGCCTAGCCGCTCCGCGGCATGTGGAATCTTCCCGGACCGGGGCACGAACCCGTGTCCCCTGCCTTGGCAGGCGGATTCTTAACTGCTGCACCACCAGGGAAGCCCAGGTCTAACTTTTTAAAAACTCTCTGGGATGTGCTTTTGTTCATCGCACATGCTGTGATGTTCAGTGTGCTTGCTGAATCGTGAAAATGTCGACAGAGATTTCTAGGTGAAAGAATGTCAGCCACTCTTGCTGTTATTCAACACCATCATCATCTCTCTCTTTCTTAAAAATCATTTCAGATTGCCATTTACGTTTGTCACTAAGGAAGTAGCTGAAGCCACGTGTAATTGCCTTCTTGCCCAGGCAGAGCAGGCAGACAAGAAGGGGAAATCAAAGGCAGCAGCTGAACGGATGATACTTGAGGAATTCGGGCGATGTTTGATGAGCGTCATCAACTCTGCAGGAAAAGCAAAAAGTGACCCTTGTGCCATGAATTGCTAACTCTTGCACAAAAGACTGATAAATCGAACTGTACAGAAAATTGAAGGTGCAGGGACACTTGATTTTCTGGAAGATAGTTTAACAATTATTGTATTGTTAATTCAGTCTTGTGAGACCTGAAATTATAATATTGAAAGAGGAGAAATTTTAAACGAGGAAATTACATTTTAAATCTTAGTTAAATCTGCTTATGCCCCTTCTAAATTGAATTTTTCTTTATTGTATTATATGGATTTTTAATTTGCTTGGGTTTCTTAAGAACTAGATGTTCTGTCCTTCTCATTCTATTGACAAAGAACATTTATAAATTACTATTATATAATTTATAATGTATGGCGTTGTATGACTTTGTTCCAGTAGAAAAAGCCAAAGAAGCACTGGTATTACCCGGTCATTCTTTGGTACTAGATCTAGAATATAAGCAGATATTATGTCTACATAAACGATGTCTTATGAAACATATTCAAATGACATTTTGTGTTTAGAAAAGCACTATCTTTTTAAGAAAAATCAACATTTTAGGGTGGATTCTGGAATATACCCTGTTGTCACTTTGGGAATTGTCAGAAGGGGAAGTACTCTGTAGGCACACTTTAAAAAAGTTATTTTGTTTTTTTAAAAAACATATAAAGTGTTAACGGACAGAAAATAATTCTCAAAGGGCAGACAATTTGTTTCTATAATAAGAAGTGACTAAGAAATGCTCTGGGATGTTTCCATTTTCTTTCAAGGAGGCGGTATGTATTTGAAATAATAAACTGTCAGTGATTAAGGGGTACTGTTAAAATGAGCGGTGCATGTGAATAGAAGTAAACATTATGATTATGTAGTGATAAAATAGAACCTTACATAATTACCAGTTAACAAATTTGGCTTGGATGGAGAAATAAAGAATATTGAAGCTCTAAGAGATGAATTTAGAGAAGGAGTTTTCATCTATACAAACAGTTCTTTTTATAGACTTTTGAACTAAGATGTTTCAAACCAATCTATGACTCTTACTTGATTTACTGAAAGGGGCCTCCTAACAAAGCTTTCAAAATTGTAGTGGGATTTCTTTTTATAAGGGAAGCTTATTATGGCATTATTTTTAGCCAGTGATTTGGTTAGCTAAAGGAATGAGTGTTTTCATATAATTACTAAGATAACCTAAATCATTTTCAGTAATTCAGAATTCAAAAGCTTTATGAATTTAAGAGCCTGTTATAATAGGACTCTGGATTTTATGATGAGAAAAAACCATGTTGGAATTCAGGCATTTTGCTAGGTACCTTAATCCTCAGTAATTAGTAGTATATGATTATTACATTTCCTACAAGGAATCTATAGTTGTATGTATTAAGTGTGTATATATGTTCATATGAACATGCAAGATATAGGCAATAGAAATTAAGTAATCCAAAAAAGATTCCGTTATTCATTAAGCATCTTCCTTTTAAAATTTGGATTTATAAAATTATAGTGCAGTAACTTTAAATGTAGATAGTGCAAACATTCTTAGCACCTCAATCTAGTATGTTTAATTAAAATTTGTAAAAATGTAAACTAGTGTAAGAGGATAAAATAATATCTAATCAAGTTATTTTTCAAAAGATTACAGTACCTTTTTTGTCAAAACCTAAACTTTGTTCATTCTGTATATATTCTGTGTTTAATTCTAATTGCACCTTTGTGATGTGTATTTATATACAGTGTGCATAAAATGTTTGTGAAATTTGGATTACAGTTGTAGATTATGTATGATGGCATTGCTTGAGAATGTTTTGCTTGTAAAAATTTGAAGGTGCAATCAAATGCTACTAGTTTTTCTGATTTTCAGGAAGCTATCTAAAGTATTAAGACTTTTCCTTCCTGTGTAGTACTTACTAAACAACTTTTTGTATTTAGGCATTTGCATCAAATTGCTGAACAAGATTAATATCCACATTAATTCAACAATTTTAAAAGACTATTTGGGGAGGGTTGGGTATATAATTTTTTAGCTCTATTTACATCCCAAAGTAGAAAGATTAAATTTATATTTACTAGAGCTATTCAAAGAATACACTTTTCTATATTGTAAAAACAGGACAGCAAAGTAAATCATACAGAAAATAAACATTTATACTATTCTGTAAAAAAAGGGTTTGCATTTTTTCTTTAATAACACCACTTTTAACCATTTAAGATGCAAGAAACCTTTTAAAATATCTGCTATTAAGTAAATTTGACATTACTTCTGAAAGCACACAACTAAAAAATAAATCTATCATTTTGCCCAGTTATCATTAACTATAAATTGCTTTGAAATGAGAATATGTCTTGTCTTTTTTCCACTGTTTCTTTTAAGGGCAGAAACTCTTTTCTCTTAATGTTTGATGTTCTTATGATGAGCACCTTTCTTAATTTCCTTTTCTCTCAAGAACTAAAAGCAACCTGTAGGTCTTACCTCTGGACTATTATGGGAAACAGAAACTTAATGTTACAGGTAAAAAAAACAAGCGGAGCAGTGACCTTGGGGGAGAGACTACTGTTTTGGCTTCCCCATTCTTTGATATGGACAACTGACATTTTCTCAGTCTTATGTAAAATGTGAATAAAAATACCTTTAGAAAAGTTTTCTATTTTTATTATTTTATAACACAAATAGCTAAGAAAATGAATGCTTCTTATGTAAATGCAGCTTCAAACCAGGACCTCCAGCCCTGTGATCATATTGCATCCCTTATGTGTTTTATAAAGGAATTCTGGAGCAGCAGCCCAAAGGAGAGGGAAGCCAACCAGCTAGAAAGCCTTGACTATTGTAGTTATTTTTCATTATGTAAATAACTTAGGACTTTTTTTTCCTTGTTAGGGCTTCTTTAATGCACATTTTGTCCTTATCTATAGACCAAATGTGAGCTTTTTATAATCCAAGTGATTTTATAAGATGTTAAGATATAAAGGCTTTAATTAAAATTTTGTTTAAAAATTGTCTTATGAAAGCATTTAAGGCATTTTTAGTTTATTCAAAAGCCATAAGGGTATATGCAGGGTAATGTTTAAAGCCACAGACTTTAGTGTAACTCTGTAGTTTAGTATATTAGTAAATGAAATCTGGCAATATGTAAAAAAAAAAAAACCATCATGACTAGGTTGGGTTTATCCCAGAAATAAAAAGTTGACCCAACATTCAAAGAAATCCATGTAGTTCAGTGTGTCAGCATACAAAACAAAAACTACATGACCATCTCAAAAATTGCAGAAAACCACCTTTTGAATATACCAAGTACTACTAGATTATATGCTTTAAAAGGGTGAATACTGTGGTATGTAAATTCTCTCTCAAAAAGTTTTTTTTCCAAAAAGGTGCAGAAAATCCTCTGACAAAATTCAACACCCATTTATGATTAAAAAAAAAAAAAAAAAAGCTCTTCAGCAAATTAGGAATAGAAGGGATCCTCAACCAAAAAAGCCTACAGCTAACATCATATGAATAGTGAAGACTGAATGCTTCCCCCTAAGATTGGGAACAAAACCCTCCTCTAAAACGTCGTGTCTGAGGTCACTGTACAATAAATTTTTTTTTAACAAAAATTATAGATTGGGAATGAATAAATATGACAGTATCTATTTGTGGATGGTGTGATGTGATTGCCTATATAGGAAAGTCAAAGGATCTTAATAAAAAGGTACCAGAACTAATAAGTGGGTTTAGCAACATTAGTATGCAAAAGTGTATTTCTATGTAGTAGCAATGAACACTTAGAAACTGAAATTCTAAAATTAGCATTTATAGTAGCACCACAAAACATGAAATGTACAAAAATATGTATAAGATCTGTATGTGAAATGTAGAAAAACATTGATTTAAAAAAATCAAAGACGACCTTCAAAAATATATACATATTATCGTATTCATGGATTGGAACATTAAATGTTATTAAGATATCATCTCTCCCCAAATTAATCTATAGATTCAACGTAACTCCAGTCAAAATCCCAGCAGGAATTTTTGTAAAAACAAGCTGATTATAAAATTTATATGGAAAGGTACTAGAATAGCCAAACATTTTTTTAAAAAGAACAAAGTTTGGGCTTCCCTGGTGGCGCAGTGGTTGAGAGTCCGCCTGCCGATGCAGGGAACACGGGTTCGTGCCCCGGTCCGGGAAGATCCCACATGCTGCAGAGCAGCTGGGCCTGTGAGCCATGGCCGCTGAGCCTGCGCGTCCGGAGCCTGTGCTCCGCAGTGGGAGAGGCCACAACAGTGAGAGGCCTGGGTACCACAAAAAAAAAAAACAACAACAAAGTTTGAGGATTCCTACTTGACTTCAAGACTTATATAAGGCTAATCAAGATAATGTGGTATTGATGAAAGATCCATGGATCAAGGGAACAGAATAGAGAGCCCAGAAATAGATCCATATTTATGTGGTCAGTTTTTGACAAGGGATCAAAGGTAATTCACTGGAAAAGGATAGCCCTTTAACAAATGGTGCTGGGATACCATCAATATGTGAAAATATGAACTTATACCACACACCAAAATCAACTGAAAATAGATCATAACCTAAATGCAAAACCTAAAACTGCAAAATATCTACAAGAAAACAGGAAGAAAAATCTGTGTCCTTGGTTTAGACGAAACTAAGAAGTATGATCCCTAAAAGAAAAAAGAGTCAATAAATTAGACTTATCAAAATTAATGTCTGTTCTTCAAAACACTGGAAAAGTAAAAGCCACATTATAACCTTTAAAAATTGTGAACCACTATGTTGTACACCTTAAACTAATACTGTACATCAACTACACCTCAGTAAAAATAAAAAGCCACAGACTGGGAGAAGGTATTTGCAGGACTCATTTGATAATGCACTTGTATCCAGAATATATAACTAACATTCAATAAGAAAACAACCAACCAACCTTAAAATATGGGGAAGAGACTTGAACAGACATTTCACCTAAGAAGACTGAATGGCACATAAGCCTATGAAAAGATGTTCAGCATCATTAGTCATTAGAAAAATGGAACTGAAAGCCACAGTGACATATCACTGCACACCCATTAGAATGGCTAATTCAAAACAAAACCCTGACAATACCAAGAGCTAGGGAGGAAGCAGAAGAACTAGAACTTTTCATACATAACTGGTTGAAGTACTGCATGGTGGTACATCACTTTGCAAAAAAAACAGTTCAAGCAGTGTGTTATAAAGTAAAACATACACTTACCATGTGACCCACTGTATGGGTACAACACATTTTTTATTTACCCATTCATCAGTTGGACATTTTTTAGCTATTATAATGCTGCTATGAAATTTGTACATTTCTCTTGGGTGTATGCCCATTGGTAGAACTGCTGGGTCACATGGCAATTCTACATTTAACTAACCTTTTGAAGAACTGCCAGGCTGTTTTCCAAAGTGTGCATTCCCACCAACATTGTATGAGGGTTCCAGTTTATCGATATTCTTGCCAACACTTGTTACCTGTCGTTTTTATTATAGCCATCCTAGTGGGTGTGATGTGACATCTCACTGTGGTTTTGTTTTGCATTTCCCAGACGGCTAATTTTGTTGAGCACATACTCATGTATTACAGGCCATTTGTGTATCTCCTTTGAAAAATAACTATTCATATTTTTTACCCATTTAAAAATTAGGGTTATTTGTCCTTTATTATTGTTCTTTGTATACTCTAGATACAAGTCCTTTATCAGATATATGATTTGCAAAAATTTTCTGTGTGTTGTCTTTCACTTTCTTGATGGTGTCCTTTGAAGCACAAGTTTTTAATTTTGCTGCACTACAATTTATTTTGTTTTGCTTGTGCTTTTGGTGTCATATCTAAGAAACTATTGCCTAATCCAAGTCTCCAAGATATACTCTATTTTATTCTAAGAGTTTTACAGTTGTACCTCTTACATTTGGGTCTTTGTTCCATTTAGAGTTAACATCTTTGCATGTGCATATCCAGCACTATTTGTTGAAAGTAAGAAGAATAAATTTCTGAAAGGAATGTCTGTTTTCTCCGAAGGGGGAAGAAAAAAAAAAGAACAAGGGTGTTGAGTAGAAATTGTAAACTAAATTACCCTAATCAAATATGAACAAATAATTTATTTAAAAAATTTCACTGTCAAGCATATCATATCAAGTAAATCTGACATCACACTTGTACCACTTCACTAGGGCAAGAGCAATTAACTGTGCTAATGGCAGTGATGGAAAGATTCTTGTCTTCAAAGTTTGTCCAATTTATCCAGCACTTAAACAGCGCAAAACACTATTTTAAGAAATTACAGAATATATAGGACGTGAGTGAAATGTAACAGCAAAGAACATAAGACGCTACAGATATGAACCTAATTTTAAGTAAAGATCAAGTACAAAACTTGGATTCATATAAGCAATAAGATAAAGGTGGTGATCTATAAACAGGCTTCCTTTAAATAAGATTTATCCCAGTGCATCTAAACTCATTCTACTGCAAACAACAAAACCCACAATATTTAGACTTCTCAGCAATAGCCCCTCATAAAATGTAGTACAGTACAACTCTGGTTACATTTCAGAATTGAAGCCGTTGTTTGAGGTAGAACCAGCAGAAATATATCAAAATACACTATTTAAGGGGAATTTCAACTAATAAAACTAAACTTTCACCTACTCATTAGTCTTTTACAACTTTAAGTTTTCATATTAACTGTACTTTGTGAACATTCACTCAATGACAATAAGAGTAGATATTTTACATACACAGGCGAAAAATGTGCTTGTTTCTTCTTTTTCCATTAAAATACTCCCATTTGTGAAACAAATGTTTTTCTATTTATCGTTTCAGATCTGGGTATTAGAGAATGGAGAATATTGTTCTTAGTATGTTTCCGTCTTCAGATTATTTAAGCTAAATTTCTGAAAAAACTCATTATGTAATTAAGACAAATTTTTTCACTCTCATTGACTCAACTGACCATCTTTTTCCAATTTATTAATCACATGCTATGAAATGCCATTATTCAACACTGAAAATATGTTTCATTATTTTCCTCTTCAGAAAGAGAAGTTGAAATAAGGGCTTCTTTTCATTCTCTGATGAGCACTGCGCTCCTCCAACAGGAGTCAAGTAAGTATCCACTCTATTTTATTACTTGAAAGTAGTATTTTGAAGTCCAGAGACAATGGACTGTGAAGATTACATCTCCTATGTATTCCCCAGGCAACATTTCCCAGCTTGGTTGCAGCACAAGGAATCATCTCATGGTTCGTGTTTACCTTCTGCCTGATAAGGCATAATGATTTCTATTTTAGGGTACCCCAGCAAAAGGATTTTGATGGTGGTGGTGTCTGATGTTTAATTTAGCCTAATTTTCATGTGTAAGTAAAGATTATATTCAAGGTTTGATAGGCATTCTATTTTTTTTTTTTTTTTTTTTTTTTTAGTGTTAACATTCTTAAGAGCTGAAAACCAAAGCTCTTTTAGGGAATGTAGTCTTTATAAAAAGGGTCGATGTTTTGGTGACTCCTCGTCATTATTCTCCCTTGTTTTCGAAGTATGTCCAGTCAGATTAATCAGTCGTATAACAGTAAATTCAAAGACAGCACCTGTTGGCTAGTCTGTTCCTACTGACTGACTTACTGCTTTCTACATTTTGGGTAACTCTGAAATGCTTGCAAGTTCTACCAAAGTCCGAGCAGATTTGATAATACGCATGATAGAAATTCCTAAGTCGGAACCACAAACTTGTCCACTCTGCAGAATGGTCAATTTGAAAAATATAGTAAGTTGAATTTTAAAGTAAATGTTGACCAATTATTTTTAATAAAAATTTTAATATATTTTAGGTCCTTCATTTGAACAGACAGCCGTCGTTCCTTAGCAAATGCCTGTATTTATTGGTATTAGCAAAACTTGAACATCTGTAATTCTGTAAAGATGACCAGTGTTTCCTTGACAAAGTTTTCGTTTCAGTTCTTTCTGAATGGTGTTTTAAAGGGTACTGAGTTACACCTTTAGCTCTGACCTTTAAGAAACAGATTATTATGTCCTTTAGTAACTTTACAAAGTGATTGATGGCACACACTTCTCCATCAAAGAGATGCTTATCTAAATCTACAAAAAGATAAATATGCCCGGAAAGCTCATGTAATATTTTTTGCTGAAGATAAAATTCCCTCTGTTTAGGAAGTAGTAGTTCATAAACTGCCATCCTTGAATGGGTTCTTACGACTCGCTCACAAATATCTATGACTCGGCACAAACTTTCTGAAGGGAAATGCAAGCCATTTTCCTTTTTAACACATAACAGTGATCCAATTTTAGAGGATTTGAGATCTGATGCATATAGTGCACTGATGCAGTCCTCACATGTTAAAAGAGCTGATAACTTATTTGCAATATAACCGGCACACCAGGTAAGATTTTGCCTATGATCTGACAGGTCTAGTAATGCCTCACTTAGCGAACAGTCAGACCAGTCTTGGCAAATATCCTCTTTGCGAAAAAGAGTCTTTATAACGCTGATACCATACTGACGCTGAACTGTCCAAAGGGCCAAGTCCGTCCTTCGAGCAACTGAAATGTCAAGGATGCTTACTTCACCTAGAAAAACCTCATCTTGTAATCTGTATCTGGTCTCCAAATTATGGTAAGCTTTCTGGAATGCCATGCAGGTAGGGTTAGAACTGGTTACCAATACCTGTCTAAGCATCTTTAGAAATAATTCCAGATGATCTTGACTGAATTTGTAAGTCAGAAGATATGGAAAAGGCATGACTTTTGGGGAAACGTAATTTTGGTAGAGCCATTTTAAGCTCTCAGCATTAAGCAAAAATCCCAGGAATCCCAGTTTTCGCTTACCTTTAATTATTTGATTATTGCTAATGTCAGATAATGTAACAAAAATAGTCTTGGCTTCAATTAACACATGGTTGATTTTATTAAAAGTTTCGGGTAATAGAGGTCCTTTAAGTCCCTTTCCATAATAGTTCCTACTATTAAAAATGTCAAACAGATTGTTAATTAAGCGTAAGAACTGGATGGTACCAATACAGTTTTGAAAAGGAGGCAGGCCTAATGACAGCAAACATTCTAACGCGCTGGCCACGCTCTCACTGAAGAGTTGGGCAGCACAATTCATTTTCAGTATGTGGTTCTTCAAATTTGCAAGTTTTCTTGGGATTCTCTCCATATTTGATAATTCCTGTTCCTCTAGTGCTGCTAACCCCACAAGGTGCTGCCAGTGTGCTGTGCCATTAATGAACTGAATGCTTTGAAAATTCTGAAATGCATTTCTTATTAATCTAAGCAAGTGGCAAGAATCAAAGAAGTATGCAATCTGTTGACTAGAAGATGAAGGATGCTGAAATGTACACTTCATGTTGTCTCCATCAAGATGTATCCCCAATGCTTTTGCCATCTGAACACTGTGAGCTGTAGCATCAGACGTGACAGCTAGAACTGTGATCCCTATGTCACTCAGTTTGCCAATCGTCAGACGAAGCAGCTGAGCTTGCAAATATCCAGACGTCCTGTTTACAAAAAAATAACCAAGAGGTGTCCTCCAGTGACCAGAAATACCCACTGCCATGAGCAAAATAGTTTCTGAGGCAAGTGGCGTTTCATCAGCATCAAGTTTGCCAAGACCAAAGTCCATAAACCCTAGCAAATGGTGACTGCTGGGGTCCCACTGAAGTTGTTGCTTGAGAGATATACCTTTTATTATCAGTGAACAATACTGATATAGCTGGTCTCCATTCTCTACTTTTCGTTGAAGAAAAGAAAAAACGTTGCTGCTGAAACCTGGACCGGGTTTGCATTTGGACAGCCATCTAGAAAATGTAAAAAATGAAAAACATAAAACACAAATGAAGAAATTAAAAAAGGGAAAATGCCTTAAATGGCATTTTCTACTAAAGTAGCCTCAAATCGCTGTTGAAATAAAGCCAAGTATAGTAGCCAAATTCTATCAACATTTCAAGCATATATTCATAGTTATGATAAAATAGATAATAGAGAAACTTAGAAACACAGAATAGCAACTGAAGATGCAAACATACCACAACATTTTTAACTTCTTACTCACTTCTTAATAAAAATCAATTACCCAGTTTGTTCTCATTGATGTGTTTGTAATTTAGATCATAAACCAGTCTTACCTGTACATTCACTGAGATGAGAAAACTGTTGAGGGGGAAGGAAACTGAGAACAGCTAGTACATCTACCCCATTTTATAGATGAGGAAACTGGGAGGAAGAGGGAGAGGTTAAGTTGCCTGGCCCATGTTGTGCTGCTAGTCATGCACAAATGTGAAAACCAGCTTTCCTGAGGCCCTTGTTCAGTGCTTTTTCTCACTGCTCTTTGAATTATGCCCTTTGGGGCAATAGAGTGTCTGCATCTGTTTGCTCCTATCCAAAGTACCTACACTATTATCTTTATCTTAGGAGTTCTTTCATAGTATTTCTTTGATCTTCCCAAACTGCTGATTATTCTTTTCTATTTCTGTTAGTGTCTGTCACTAACAGACAGAATTCTTTTCACTCAGTTCTAATTTACACTTTCTAATTTGTTATAGAGCAGGAAAGGAAGTAGCCAAGTTTAATAATTGTCTAAAATAAGACTAAATGGATTCTGAGGTAGACTGAAGTGTTCATCTTCACTGAAGTTTACTTTTATAACTCAAATGACTTTTTTTTTAAGGTTGAATTTCTGATTTGGGGGCTATATTCCAGGCTGCCAAGGTTTCTTCCTGGACAGCCATCTCTATTTAATAGAAATTTTAATGTACTTCCAGAAGTATTTCAGGACAGGGCTTTCCAAATATTTTGCTGCAACCAAGAAGTTTCATGAACACAATCTACCCTTACTATATGCCAGGTACAAATATACGTGTGTATATAAATGTATATACAAAATTTAATGCCACTTATGACCCACTAAATTTATTTCAAGATGCACTAACAGATCTGAAAAACAGAGTTACAGAATGCAAAAGACATACTCTGACTATTTAGGAGACAAAAGTATTAATCAGTTGTTTATATTTAAAAACAGGGCAAAATAATAAGACAATGAGAAAACAGAATAGTGGCTCTCCACCAGGGTGCTACAGCCCACTAGTACATTGAAAAGCCTTTTCAAGTGTGTCACCAAATTTTAATCAGTTGTTTAAAATTTATTCTTTTGCAGTAGGATTCTCAAATGAACACTAAAGATGCTAAATATGTTACATGTGCAGTAAGTATCTAATGAAACTACTTAATGCTTCAAGGTAAAAGTTCTAGTTTAAATAGGTTAAAAAAGCTTATGTTCCGGTGAGCTTGCTTTTTAAATGAAAATTAAATGGTATCTTAATGTCCACAACTACTAGAATGATGTTTCTCAGGCAGAAAAATATGTGGACTTGTTGATTTTTTCTTTTTAAGTTTTTAAAACTGAGAGTAGAAACACTCAAACCAAGTTTTTAGTGTTGTAGGGAAGTGACTGATTTCTCTCTCAAACCAACTTTTTTCCCCCACTCAAAATGAAAAAAAACTTTTTCTGATTGTATAAAATGACACATCCATTTTTTAAAATACTGAAAGAATATAGAAAAGTGCAAAAAAGTAAAAATCACTGTTAATACATGAACTTATTTACAAAACAAAAATAGACTCAAAGACATAGAAAACAAACGCATGGTTACCAAAGGGGTGGCACGGGGTGGGGGCCCGGAGGGATAAATTAGGAATTTGGGATTAGCAGATACACACCACTATATATAAAATAGAGAAACAACAAGGGCCTATTGTATAGCACAGGGAACTATATTCAATATCTTGTAATAACTGAAAATGGAAAAGAATCCCAAAAAGAATATATATATGTATATCTAAATCACCTTCCTGTACACCTGAAACAATATAGCATTGTAAATCAGCTACACTCCAATAAATAAATAAATAGATATTTTTAAAAAATCACTTAATATTTCAGGGACATTCTTCCAGATCTCTTTATGTATACATAACTAGATATAATTTTCAAAAATTATACTGAACCTATTTTTCTTTACTATAGTAATGTTATAGACATACTTTTGCATGTTCTTAACTACTGACCTACAGCAATATTTTAAGTGTACACATAGTAAAACTAAAGCATAAATAATTGAACCAACCTGTATTGAAGGACACTTAGGTTGTTTCTAATTTTTAAACAATACAAAGAGCAACACAATGTGTGTTTGTGGGCACACATACACTTATACATATCTATGTCATTTATGCAATTCCTAGGAGTAGGATGCAGGGGTAAATTTACTTATGCATGTATTAGAATAAATGAACTCAACTTTTAAAGACCTTTTGGGCCGCAGGTGCACATAATTGAGTCAATTTAAATATAATTCACATTCCCAAATTGTCCTTCAGACAGTTTATACCAATTATAATTGACATACTCATCAATATATTTTAAATTAAACATTAGCTTAGCTATGGAATAATTATAGGGAGTCACTTGGGTAGCTTAAAGCTCTGCTTAGGAAAAATATTGTGCTGAAGAGCCATAATGCTGAGCTGGGTGTTCTTTTTTAAGACTATTAGCTCCTCCCACTGTCTTGGTTATTTCTGAAGCTCTCACATCAACTCACCTATACAGGGAGCTAATTTACTAAACTGCAATGAATACCAAAATAGAAAATTAAATTAGGAACAGAAAAAATCTACTAAGATCATACTAAATGTATCACTATTATAATTAGGAAAGCTGAGGGTGCTATGACATTATTTCAAAGGAGCTGTGAAAACAAACTACCTTAAAGACCCAAAGCTCTGGAATTATAAGAAGCAGAGCCGTGGGAAGGTTCTGGACATAAAGAATTCAAGGGAGAACTGAAAAAGAATCCAACTTCAGTACAGAGAAAATTAGGGAGGTGACTGATAGTAGCTAAGAACTGAAGAAATAGTAGTTAGAAATGAGTGAGTGAGGTACCTATCTAACTGAATCAAGGGTTTTTTAAAATGTAAGTCTGGCTTGGTCTCCATCCATACAATGGATGGATACATCCAACCATACAATTGTATGGTCTCATCCATACAATTGTTTCTCCATTATCATGGAGGGAAAAAACAACTATTCATATTTTCTCCTTTCTCCCAAACTTCTAATGCTTCCTTCCCCAACTCTTAGCTATTAACTTCATGTCACTGAGAAAATAGAAGCAATTCGATAAACACTCATTTTCTTACCACCAAATCTGTTAACCTGTTGCATCTGTATCTCTCTCTTTTTCCTGTTTCGACGCATGATTTGTCCCTGCTCCTAATTAAGGCCAGACCTCCCTCCATAGCAGTGTTGGATGTTGCCCTCCTGCAGTTATCCTTTCTGTTGTGCATCACTGATTTTCTTATCTGCACTAGATCACTCCCATGGGCAGGCAAACAAGGTGCAGCATCTGCTATCTCATCAAATATCCTCCCCTCCATTTATGTTCCTTCCACTTACGGACACATTTCTCTTCTCCTTTCACAGCAAAACTCCTTGAGAGAGTCCATAATCACTGTCTCTGCTTCTTTGCCTTCCAGTATCTCTTGATTCCACTTCAGCCAGGCTTATCTCTCCATCACTGTACTGCAACTGCTTTTATCAAGGTCATCACTGATGTCTCCATCTTGCAAAATCCAATGGTCAATTGACTGTCCTCATCTTACTTGATCTCCAGCAGCATTTGACACAGTGCAATACTATCTCCTTGAGATACTTTCTACACTTGGCTTCTAGGCCATCACAATCTCCTGGTTTTCCTCCTGTCTCACTGGCTGCTCATGATCAATAAATGTTTCTTGAATAAATGAATATTCAATATGATTAGACATCTAATACTTAAGCACAGATGTGCTGAAAATAGATATAAACAGGGGAAATGAAGGGAAATGTAATCAAATAAAAAATTTTGACCATTCAGATTTCTCAGTATAAAATCTAGGTATTTCTAATATGCTGGAATAATAGATGGCCATGAAAACAAAATTTGGGTGATGGATAGTTTTTTTTTAAAGTCTGGGAGAATACATACCAAATTGCTAACTGGTTATTTTGTGGGATTAGGGGAATGGAAGTATTATAAATATTTTTCACTTTCTGGTATTTATATACTTACATATTGTTTCAATGTTTTATACTAAGCATGTATTACTATCACATTAAATAAGGTAACTTAGTTTCAGACAAAGTATCCAAAGAAATAAGCAACCCTTTGAGTACTAAAATTGTAAATCAAAATAATGACACAGCAAAGGTTACAAAATGAAAAATGACATGAAGAGAAAACAGATCAGTGTGAGCTGGAATTACCAGAGAAGACTTAATTCAGGAGTTGATGCAGAACTATAGAAATGAAGAAAACCATGGGGGACGGGGTGGGGGGGAGATGAGAAGTCGTATGGAATGTCTCACATAAACTGTAGTGTAAAATCAGTAACTAATGCTTTAAAACCAGTGCAAAGGAGAGGACTTGACTAAAAAACACGTGGAAGTGATAGCAACATAGTGTCTATAAAAATGTCCCCTGCTTACCAGAAAGTAGACGTTTATAAATAAGTGTAATATCTGGCCTAAATGGTAAAATCACATATGGAAGAGAGTGAATCAGCCTATACACAGATGTTCATCTCAATATACAAAACAGCACTTACAACCAAAAAATAAAAACAATATAAATGTCCAATAGTTGGAGAATGCCAAAGTTAAGTAGGGTACGACTACCTGATATTCTGCAGCTATTCAAGATCATAACTATGTAAAAAACTAGTAAATCTAAGCACAGAAAAAAGACTGGAAGAAAATTCCCTATGTTAATAGTAATTGTTTAAATATAACCTAGAGGAACAATTAATGAATTTTCCTCCTTTTTCTCTCATTTCTAAATTTGTTAGTAGCAGTATTATGTTAATAGTATGTGTGGAGGAAAATTCTCATTCATGTTTTTTTTTAAAGGGGATGTGATGTACATCATGGTGACTATAGTTGATAATACTGTACCTATATCTGAAAGTTGCTAAGAGAGTAGATCTTCAAAGTTCTCATCACAGACACATAAAATTTGTAACTATGTGTGTGATGGATATTAACTAGACTTATCTTGGTGGTCATTTTGCAATATATACAAATATCGAATGCAAATATCAAACACATAATTACATTGTATACCTGAAACTAACATAATGTTATGTGTCAATTACATCTCAATTTAAAAGAAGAGAAGTTTCCCCCCAAGTGGGAAAAAAAAGAACCCTCATAATAATCAAGGTCCTTCCTCCCACCAAGCCTCAGTTTCCCCCTTCTTTAAAATGAGGGGGTTGGGGCTTCCCTGGTGGCGCAGTGGTTGAGAGTCCGCCTGCCGATGCAGGGGACACGGGTTCGTGCCCCGGTCCGGGAAGATCCCACATGCCGCGGAGTGGCTGGGCCCGTGAGCCATGGCCACTGAGCCTGCGCGTCCGGAGCGTGTGCTCCGCAACAGGAGAGGCCACAACAGTGAGAGGCCCACGTACCGCAAAAAAAAAAAAAAGAGGGGGTTGGACTACATGATCTCTAGGAGTTTCTCCAGCCCAGAGCCCCTATGAGTCTGTTTTAAAGTTGAAGCAATAAGAAACCAAGAAGCACCTTCCAGGAGAGAAGGCTCCTGCCATTCCTGGGCGACCTCTGCCCCAATAGCAGTGGATTAAATGAAGTGCTGCTCTTTAGACAGCGATTTGAGGTCCAATGCAATTCTTCTTTACATCTGTTCAAAATCCTAAACAACCATCCAGGCATCCTTTCAGTCCACAAATATTTATCAACAGACCATTGTGTTCCAGGCACCCCTCCAGGGCAGGAGGTGTAACAAAGAACCAGACACAGACCTCATACTTGGGCAGCTCACAGTCTAGCGGGGAAGACAGTGTTAAGTACTAAGATTCAGTTCCACATTGTGTGCGTAAGAGGGTACCTAGTCCAGAATCGGAAGAATGGCAGGCCAGGATTCAGAAAGGATGTGATACCTAATCTGAGCCTGAAGGGTGAGGACCAATCTCCAGGACTAACAGGGAGAATGGGCATTTCAGGCAGATGGACTAGTAAGTCTCGAAGGTAAGGAAGCAGCAAGAAATGCCTTACAATAGGAATGTGGAATCTAAGAGGGCAGGGAGAGAGGCAGGAGATGAGCCGCAGAGTCCAGCAGGAGCCACATCACATCACAGAAGCTCAGTGAGCCACAGGAAGAAGTCTATGGGTAATGGGAGGTTTGGGCAGCAGGAAAGTGACTGGTATGGGTTGACTTGTGTCCCTCAAAAAAGATATATCATAGTCCTAATCTCCAGTACCTCAGAGTGTGATCTTATTTGGAGATAGGGTCTTTACAGAGGTAATCAAGTTAAAATGAGGTCATTAGGGCACACCCTAATCCAACATGACTTGGGTCCTCATAGAAAGAGGAAATTTGGACACAGAAACATACATGGATAATGGAAGACAATGTGAAGAAACACAGGGAGAAGGACCACCATCTACAAGCCAAGCAGAGAGGCATGGGACAGACCCTTACTTCACAGCCCTCGGAAGGAACTAACCCTGCCAGCACCTTGATTTTGGACTTCTAACTTCCAGAACTGTGAGGCAATAACACATTTCTGTCATTTAAGTCAAATAAGTAAATAAATAAAAATAAAAGAATCTGTAAATCCTGTGATGAAAAAAACAGTAAAAATTGAGTATTAAATTTATAAGGCATTACTATAAAAGTCACTGTTATTTGCTTCCCACTAAGAGAATATAAATATAGCTATGTATTTTGACCACAAATTCTAAAAAATTATTTTTCATAATCTGGTCTCTGGAGAGCCTGCATTGGCACCAACTACAGTGCTTAGGAAAAATTCAGATTTTTGATCTTTGCCTCAAACCAATGGTATCAACCTAGATACCAATCAATTGTTCTCGATTTTCTAGATTAGTCACATATTAAAACTACTGAAGTGTCTGAGAAATTCCAATATTTCAAGATTTAGATTTTACCACCCAGAGTGTCTCTACCAACTGAAAGATGCAAAAAAATTTGTCAGCCTATATGTCTTCATTCTGTGGGTGAAATATCGACTGTGATAACATGCAAATACCACCTAGAAGTTTTTAAAAAGAGAAAGTGGACAAAAGGAGAGTATGAATACTAATAGCATTAATGTATAAACTACAGTGAAAGAACAAAATGTTTATTTTATTTAATATCTAAAATGTAATTCACTTACGTTCTGAGGATAGAAGAATGAGGCAGTTTAAGAATCTTTCTTACATAATCATAGACTTTGCTACTGCACAAGTAGAGTGTACACGCAAATTGCTTCATTTCTGTGGAGTACTCAGCTGTTTCTCTCCAGTTATACAACTCCCACTTAAAATCTGTTAAAATAAATTTATTCTTTGTGATGAAAAATGTGTACAGTAACATTTTCAGGCATAGACCATAGCATTTGGATATAAAATGTGATAAGCACCAAAATTCAAATAGTTACATTTTAACTGAGTTTGTTCAGAGGTTACTATCCAATCTTAGAGACTGTTAACCAATTTATCCTGTTCATCTTGGATCATTTCACTACAAAGAGGGACGAAAAATGTGTCAACTTCAGTCGTTATGTTTTACTATTCACTGGCAGCCTGAGTGGAGATTTTTAGAGGAACAGGGAAGAAAATGAAATAAATGGATAAATTAAGTCTCTGGATTATGAGGACATTTATCAGTTTTAGTTTGTTCCCTGGTCATCATTTATCTGAGAGTGAAAATTAGACACAAGAAATATTTTGGGGGATAGGGAACTATTCAGAATGAACAATCTTCCCTACCACTGAGAGAAAAAAAAAAACCTCTGTTCCTGGTGCAGACCCCTATTTATAACCTATATTCCCCTCTTGGAAAAACACAAAATACTCTCTTCCATTGGAGATACCTACTCTTGTCTAGAAAAGGACATGCTTCTTTTACCAGAATGCAAATCCAAAATCTCTGCTGCTTTCATCAGAGAGTAAGTTGGCAATTCTTACTTTGCCCCTCTTCAAATATCCTGGTTCACAAAGAAGACTAGGTAGTCTTTCAATGAACATATATATACTCTATAGAGTATTACAGAAAAAAATTTGGAGACTTAACACAATTTTCAAACTCAAAGGGATTTTGCAAATTATCTAGTTCAACTCACTGCAAAAAAAGACTTTAGTGATAAATTATCTAGCAGTTAAAATTGTTTACAAAGAATTTGCAGTGACAAGTGTGTGATTATAAAAAGTGAAAAGTAGGGACTTCCCTGGTAGTCCAGTGGTTAAGCATCCATCCTTCAATGCAGGGGATGCCAGTTTGATCCCTGGTTGGGGAACTAAGATCCCACATGCCACAGGGCAACTAAGCCCACGCACCACAATTAGAGAGCCCGCATGCCACAACTAGAGAAGCCTGAGTGCCACAACGAGGAGCCCATGTGCCGCAACTAAGACCCGAAGCAGCCCAAAAAAATAAATAATAAATAAATAAATTAAAAAAAAAATTTTTTAATATTTTTAGAAAGTGAAAAGTACAGGGCTTCCCTCGTGGCGCAGTGGTTGAGAATCTGCCTGCCAATGCAGGGGACACGGGTTCGAGCCCTGGTCTGGGAAGATCCCACATGCCGCAGAGCAACTAAGCCCGTGCGCCACAGCTACTCTACTGAGCCTGCGCGTCTGGAGCCTGGGCTCTGCAACAAGAGAAGCCGCGACAGTGAGATGCCTGCGCACCGCGATGAAGAGTGGCCCCCACTCGCTGCAACTAGAGAAAGCCCTCGCACAGAAACTAAGACCCAACACAGCCAAAAATAAATAAATTTATTAAAAAAAAAAAAAAGTGAAAAGTACAATATATGGTATAAACCATATGATCTCATTTCTGGGTAGTAGGATTATGTGTTATTTTTATTATTTATACATTTCTTTGCTTCTCCTGTAATAAACATATTACTTTTACCTTTTTTTTTTTTTTTTTTTTTGTGGTACGCGGGCCTCTCACTGTTGCGGCCTCTCCCGTTGCGAAGCACAGGCTCCGGACGCGCAGGCCCAGCGGCCATGGCTCACGGGCCCAGCCGCTCCACAGCATGTGGGATCTTCCCGGACCGGGGCACGAACCCGCGTCCCCTGCATCTGCAGGCGGACTCTCAACCACTGCGCCACCAGGGAAGCCCAAACATATTACTTTTAAAACTGTAAAATCATAAAAGGATTTTGGTGATTATTTTTCATTCTTCTTGCTTATGCTAGAGACTTTTCACTTCTCAGCTAAAAGCATATTTCCATTGGCAATACAAAATAAATATGTAATGATATTTCAGAAAAATTAAGAGCTACATTGTAAGTATTACAGGTCATTAGGGAAGATACCGGAAAATTGTGCTCGTAGCAGACACTCTGTTTCCTCTGAAAGTAGCTTCTCTTCTACAAGTGCATCAATTAATCGTAAGCCCTTTCTCTTCTTGATCATCCTGTAGTTTTTTGCGGAAGCAAGTCTTTTTCGGGACATTTGTAGCATCTGTTGCACCTCAGCCAATTTCTCTGCTCCTATTGTGAGAGGTCTCTTTAGACTGTAGTTATGGTCCTCAGTAGCAACCTCTTGAGAATTATCAGGAAGTGGCTGTTTTAGGATTTTCTGTCTTGCTTTACCTTTAAGGTGTACACCTTGGAGAACCTATGACACAAATAGAAAGTGAAGTTTATTTTAGAAATTATCACACAATGACTATCTATAAAAATACCACTGAATACAAAGCACTCACCTGGTTGCTGTGGAGAGTTAGTTATGAAAGAAAAGGTCATAATCTCTGACTTTTTAAAATATATGATCTCTGGGATAATGTAAACAAGTTTTGGGATTTTTGTTTTCGTTTTTGTTTTTTTTGGCTTCTATACAGAAATAGTAACATGATGCTGAAAGTTTCCGAAATGATTAAAGTAACTAGAGAAAGGTGGTGGTAATTTGGGAAGGTTTCACAGGAGTTTTGAGTTGTTCTTTTTCTTTTTTCTTTTTTTAAAGAAGATGTTGCAGGTAGGAGTTTATTAATTAATTTATTTATTTTTGCTGTGTTGGGTCTTCCTTTCTGTGCGAGGGCTTTCTCTAGTTGTGGCAAGTGTGGGCCACTCTTCATCGCGGTGTGCGAGCCTGTCACTATCACGGCCTCTCTTGTTGCGGAGCACAAGCTCCAGACACGCAGACGCAGCAGTTGTGGCTCACGGGCCCAGCTGCTCCGCGGCATGTGGGATCCTCCCAGACCAGGGCTCGAACCCGTGTCCCCTGCACTAGCAGGCAGATTCTCAACCACTGCGCCACCAGGGAAGCCCCTTGAGTTGTTCTTTGAAGGAGTAATAACATGGTTTAATGGAGGGGACAGGGAAGTTATTTGCACAAACAGGAAGGCACAGGACAGAGCATGGGCTTTGGAATTAACACTCCTGGCTCCCTTCACTTGTTAGCTGTGACTTAACATCTATAATCCTTTATCTTCTCACTTATAAAATGTGGATAATAATACAGAGTTGTTTTAAGGATACAATAAGATACTTTACGTAAATCGCCTAGTGCAGTGCCTGGACCACTGTAGGTCCCAATAAATTGTAACTATTATTGATTTTAAACGAAAGCATAAAAGCAAGTCAATTTATCATATATACAGAGGGTAAGTACATGTGGTTCAAAAACAGAATTCAGGGCAGTTAGAGATGCACAAATCAATTAACAGAAAGCTCTTCGAACTTATGAGTTTGGATTTGATACCAACAATATTCTTTTGAAAGAGGGAATAAGGTAAAACAATACCGAAAGAAGGAGACTCCAATGAATAAGAGGAAGGTGAGGGTAGAGTAAGGATAGAACAGTTGGATGACTATTTGCAGACTGCAGACAGTGATTGAGTCATAGATGAGCATGTGGCTAAGGGTAAAAGGATAAAATAAAAATAATCAAAAGAAACATAAGAATGTAACACCAATACTGGTGACTGGGATAAAATAAAAGCAATCAAAAGAAACATAAGACTGTAACACCAATACTGATGACTGACTCATAGAAAGTCTTCTATTTTCCGTATACCTCTTTCTATATCAATGCTAACAATTAGGTATGTTTTTGGTCAAGATCAATAACATTTTTGGGGAGAGCCAAAAAAAGGAGGGGGTAGATAATTTCAAAGTATTGTGAAAACTGTCTCATACTTAAACAAAAGCCTGAATTCTAAAGCTGTTTATATCTACTAGTTGATTTTTGTGATCCGTTTAGTAACCTTTATGTATATCTAGACATATGGTTTACATTTATACATTTTATTTATTTACTTTTTTGGCTGCACCACATGGCATGCAGAATCTTAGTTCCCCGACCAGGGATGGAACCCGCACCCACTACACTGGAAGCGCAGAGTCTTAACAACTGGGCCGACAGGGAAGTCCCGTATATGCTTTATTTTTATTTTTTAAAAAGCTCCAAAGCACAATTACTAATATTACATATATATTTTTTTAAAAACTAATTTTCTAGGCATTTAAAGTGTATTATAGGATTTATTTTAAGTCCTAGGTTTTTGGTTTTGTGTTTATCTCTGTAAAATCTAGCTGTAATGTGAGCTGTCTTGATTTGTAAAGGCTCTGTAAAATTTAATATTGTTTACACCTAGATTTAAATACCTTGTATAGAGAAACAGAAGGCACAGCTCCTTTTTTCAGCTTTCTTCTTATGCCATATGACTCAAAGTCACTTTCTTGAAAGTGTTTGGAACATAGCATAGCACCTGGTCCTGGAATCCAAATCTTTTTGCTTCTGGGGTCCATACGATTAACAGCCCTGATCCATTTTGAGCGCTGAATGGTATCAGTTGGAAATCTACAGCAATCATATTAAAATTCCATTAACATGAAAATATAGTAATACTACAGTAGTATTTATTATATAAACCGATTTATTATTTAACTGCTTTACATAAACATTAAGTCCAGTTAATTAAAGTTTAATTCACTTGATCTGATTTCATTTTTCAAAGTTCTTTGACTTTTTAAATACAAAAGCTCAGGCTTCCCTGGTGGCACAGTGGTTAAGAATCTGCCTGCCAATGCGGGATACACAGTTTCAAGCCCTGGTCCAGGAAGATCTCACATGCCGTGGAGCAACTAAGCCCACGAGCCACAACTACTGAGCCCGCGCACGCCTGGAGCCCGTGCTCCGCAACGAGAAGCCGCCGCAACGAGAAGCCCACGCACTGCAACGAAAAGTAGACCCGCTCGCCGCAACTAGAGAAAGCCCGCATGCTTTTTTAAATTTACTGAAATAAAATAAATTTAAATCCAAAAGCTCAATATCTAAGTGATCTCATCTGTTTCAATTTGTATGTGGACAATTCTTCTATTAAACACCCTGCACATTCTATCTTCATAGCCTACACTTAACAGAATCTGCTCAAATTTAATATGTGTGTCTTTCCTTTCCTGTGTCAATTTCTTTTTTAATTAATTAATTTATTTATTTTTGGCTGCATGGGGCCTTTGTTTCTGCACGCGGGCTTTCTCCAGTTGCGGTGAGCGGGGGCTACTCTTTGTGGCGGGGTGCGGACTTCTCATTGCAGTGGCTTCTCTTGTTGTGGAGCACAGGCTCTAGGTGCGCGGGCTTCAGTAGTTGTGGCTCGCGGGCTCTAGAGCGTAGGCTCAGAAGTTGTGGCGCACGGGCTTAGTTGTTTCGTGGCATGTGGGATCTTCCCGGCCCAGGGCTCAAACCCATGTCCCCTGCACTGGCAGGTGGATTCTTAACCACTGCACCACCAGGGAAGCCCTATGTCAATTTTAAACGATGTCCACAAATTCTTCCGTACTCCTCCTTTCAAGGAGTGGAACCTAATTCCCCTCCCCTTGAGTGTGGGCTGGGGTTAGTAACTTGCTTCTAAGGAATATAAAAAAGCAGACGTGATAGTGGGCATTAAACATGATCATAAAAAGCACTGAGGATCTGTCCTTGCTCTCTCTGTTGAATGGTTTTTCTCTGGGGGAAGTTACCTGCCATGTCATAAGGAGCCCTAAGGAGAGTCCACTTGGCAAGAAACTTGAGTTCTCCGGCCAAAGGCCATGTGAGGGAGCCTTTCTGAAAGTAGATCCTTCAGTCTCCGTCAAGGCTTCAAATGACTGCAGTCTTGGCTAACATTTCGACTGCAATCTTATGAGATACTCCGTAACATCCACCTTATCCACTCCTCAATTCCTGACCCTCAGAAATTTGTCCCCTCTTCTCCTTCCTTTTTCTGGGCCACGCTGCGTGGCTTGTGGGATGTTAGTTCCCCAACCGGGGACTGAACCCGGCCCCTCAGCAGTGAAAGCATGGAGTCCTAACCACTGGACTACCAGGAATTCCCTGCACCCTCTTCTTTGATTTATTTTGGAGATAGATCTATAGGTAGCCTATGACTTTTATATATTTTAACTCAGGCTTTAAAACACATAGTTGTTAGAAATGAAACTGGTGAAAATTTTAATTTCCTTAGCTACTTGTTAGGGAAATGATATGACAGTTATGATAAAACTTAATTCTGAGATACTCTCTCAATCACCTTGAGAAAGAACACTGAATTGGTAAACCTCTAAGTCTCAATTCCCTTTTACTAGCCATGTAGTATTAGATACATCTCTCAATCTGTCAGCCTCCTCCAGGGCGATAGTAAGAGTACCTGAGGATACAGATGCGTTCAAAAGCACTTTGTAAATGGTAAAGTACTATCCAAGGTTTGTTCTTTCTTAGGAACAACTAATTCCACTTTCGGAACTTTTTATTTTATTGTTCCAGGAAGATGATGCTACTTGATCAAGAGAGAATGTACAGAGAATTATTTTTCCAATAAAGATGAGGCACACCTTTCTGTTTTCACTGGACTCTTTTCTTAACTGATGGCACGTGTTTGTGAGGCCACATTTCTAGACTGGGTGTAGTCTCTAACCATGCAAGGGACCATCAAAAGTTGACTAGTCCACCAAGTTACATTACCAGCCTGATTCTCTGATGCAAAGCTTCCCAACTGGCATGCCTGCTCAGTACAGTTATCAATCCCCTTAGCCCATGGGGTGGGCCTGGGCCACCTGGAGCCCTTGAAGTAGTTACTAGTCCCAAACTGCTTTGTAGGTGTGCCCCAAAGTATTAAACAAATATTTCCAATTTTCAAAAAGACATGAAAAGGGTTGGTAAATACTGCAGTCTAACCAGCATGACTGACTAATTTGCGTTCTGGACAAAATTAAATTGGTATTAACAATTGATACCACTTTTAAAGCATTTACCTTGTGCTATATATATATTTTAAAGACTTAGTTTTGGTCTTAAAAAACTCTGCAAGACAGGTTTTTATCCTTTTACAGAAGATGAAACCAAGACTGGAGCAGCCAAGTTTAGCTACCAGTAAATAGTCAATTAAAACTGGAATTCATGTCTCCCTAGTCTAAAACCACCTCTGGCAGAAGAAAAATCCCAAATCCATCACCATCTCATATACACAGTAATGAAATGGCTTACACTGTAATACAGAATCCATTTTCTTCCTCCTATCGACTATGTCTTTTTTATGCTATTAGCAGAGATTTACTTCTTGTATCCTGCACATCAAATATTTTCCAGAAAAGTGGCTAACAAAACCAATTCTACTGTGGTTACATCTAGGGAGGGAGAGAAATGATTGAGGGGCAAGGCTTCAACTATACCTATAACTTAAGTCTCTTCTAAACAGAACAAAAGCAAACATGTTAACATCTGCTTATTCCTAGTGATGGGTAAAAGGTGTTTGTTATGTATAAATAAAAGTTTAAAAATAGAAGTCATTACAACAATTAAGGCAAAAACTCTTCCAAATGATCATGCATAAATTCCTTGGTTATGAAATAAATTGAATTTCTTAATCTTTTTATACCTACAAAAAGGGAATGAATCAAAGGGACACTTTAAATTTTAACTTGCCAGTCCCACTTTGTATTTAGCCATTTATGTGTTTGACAGAGCACCAATATTCTCATAGTAACAGTTTCCACACTTGTGAGTCATTTTGATTCAGGCTTTTCAACCACAGTGCCTTGCTTATGTCCTTACAACCTCTTTCACGACTGTGGTGATGGTGCTGGGGATGCTGGGAAAGGCTTCAGAGGACATAATATCTGAGCTAGAGCTGAAGAGTCAATAGGAGTTTGCCATGCAGAGTGGCCACTCCAAGCAGATGCAAAAGACACAGAGGTATGAAATGATTACTTGGAACTTTCTGGCTGATAAAGCTTGGAAAAGTAAACTAATTCGGAGGCTTGAAAGGAGAGTGCAGAGGTAGCTGGGAGTAGTTATAGATGGGAGGTAGCTAGAGGTCAGATCACAAAAGGTCTTGTATGCCTTACATAAGCTTTCGATCCATCCTTCAGGTCAATGGCCACCACAGAAGTCTACACTCATCTATTGAGAGTTGAAGAAATTATTAGAATTCATTTTTATAACTCTTTGCCTCATCTTCTAATTTTTGTGTTTCATAATATATATATCACTTCATATATAAATTTATAAATTATTATAAATCACTATCCATATATCAGAGGCATGTATTCAGGTTCTTTGTTTTTGTTTTATTTTGTTTTTTATGGAAAGAGCTCCAGGATCACATAGCTTGAAGATGGAGGCTTCAGGCAATAGCAAGTTGACTAATTCTCTCCTTCTCAGATTACCTTTTTGCTGAGCCCTTACTTCAGATCAATATTACCTTGTCACCAGAACTAACACCATAGTATTCTAACTCCTTTTCCTGTCTCTATTCTTTCCTGCCTTGCTTACAACTTCCTAGGTGTCAAGAAGACAGACGATTCCGTGTGTTTAATTCCGCACATATGGATTATAAAATAATAGAAATATATTTCAGATTGGAAGAGAGGTGTATGAGGAAAGGATTCACAGAGGAGCTTGGACTCTACCTTGTAGGCACTGAAGAGCCCAAGGGATTAAAATCCTTCCTTCAGGGAACCAGCATGATAAAATTTGCATTTTTAGGAAAATCATTTCCAGAAATCTAGAAAATGGAATGAATGGGGAAGAAATCAGGCTGGAAGAATCATAGCAGACTACTGTAATAAATGCATCACTTTTTTTTTTAATTAAGCAGGTCTTACTGTGGTTCTCAACATATAAAACAAATAAAAGCAATAAGCCAGTTCTTCCCTATTTAAAGAAACTAAGAAAAAGGCACAGGAAAAACAGAGCAGCAAAAAGTTGAGAAAGAAATTAAAGAAAAGGGAGAGAACGAGGGAGAGAGTGTCAGTACGGCTATGGGAGATGAGAGTTTCAAGGAGGGGTCGATATGACTGAAGGTTAAAAGAGGTCAAGAGAAAGATTTACAAGCACTTATTTAGATTTGGCAAGATTACCAATGACCCTCAGTTAGTGCTGTTTCATTATAGTGGTGATAGACATCTGGCTACAGTAGGGTGAAAAGGCAACAGGACTTAGGGAAATAGGTGTATGCTTCTGTTTTGAGGAACTTGGTTATAAATGGAAGGGGAGGGTAGTGTAGAGGTGCACAAAGGTTCAAGAGTGTGTGTCTGTTTAAAAGTGGAAGTCATGTGAACACGTTCAGTGTTTTTAGGCAAGTAACCAGTAGAGCAATTTACAATAAAAAGAGGACAGGAACTAATTGATGGAAACAAATCCCAGAGAAGAAAGGATACAATTATAACAGCTTAGGTGGAGGACGCAGCCCTACTTAAACTAAGCAATACTACAAATGGCCTACCATATATAGTTGAAACTACTTAACTTGACATGTTAAATTTTTTTAGATAATTTGTCTCCAAGTTACTTTTCCCACTCTTCTACATTACATCTTCACTTTCCATCCCTTTATATTTTTCCATGTTATTCCTATTTAAATACTATATTCCTTCCGCCCCACTCTCCAATCTAGGTAAGGTTCAAGGTCCAACTCAAATACCACTTGTCCCACACAGCTCTTTTTGATTTTTTCATAAAAGTCCTTTGTCAGGGGTTTGACTCTCTACCCCTCATATTGCCTTAATAGGCTACCACTTTAAAAAAAACACTGTACATTTCTTTTTGTCTGTGAGTATCTATTCTATGCACTTTTCCACTTCTCATTGATCTCAATGACCTTTACTAGACTACACCACAGATGTGGGTTCAAATTAGATCGGTCTGAAAATAAGCCCCACTCTTGTGCCAAATATAATTTCCTTGCATAACCAGTTACAGCCAGAGTCGGACCAGGCTTGCAGAGCTGGGCTAATGATACTGAACAACTGGTAATGACAGTACTGGTGAAAATCTGAAACTGAGCAGGTCCCTTCAGGGCCCTCCTGGGTACAAAAGCCCTCTGTGTCTCCCATTTTGTGTCAAAAAAACAAACAAACAAAACCCAAAAATATTCAGTCTCCTAGGCCTTCCCTGAGTTCCAAAGAGCGAACCCAAGCAACGACTAATTAGGGAAGTTAGGGGAGTTAGGGAATGGGTAGGGGGTAGGGGGGAAGCAGTTAAGCCAGATAGCCTGAACAATAGTTCAGTGATAAATAGAGTCCTAGTTCCTCCTCAAGGGATATACAAAACAATCTGATGGCATATCTTTGGGTAGTTCTGCAAAAACTAACCCCTCAACCTGGTGGAGGATGGTGACTACCTGCTGACCACAAGTACTTAGACCTCAGACTGGCTAGAACCATAAGGCCAATGATTCACATCCTCTAAACACCAGACTGTTATCTTACCCCCCATTCAATCAGAATGTCATGCACCCTGCAGCCCTCACCCCAAATGTTGCTTTTAAAAGTCCTAAAAGCCATCAGGGAGTTCGGGACTTTTCGGCACCGGCTGCCCATTCTCCTTGCTTGGCACCCTGCAATCACCACTGGACTTTCCTTCACTACAACCTGGAGTCAGTAAAGTGGCTTTCCTGCGCGGTGGGAAAGGGGACTCCAGTTCAGTTCCATAACAAACTGATCTGTACTCATGCTCCTGAGCAAGCCACACACTCTAATGAAAGCGCACGCCTTCAGCAGTTCTTCTAAACTACCTTCCCTTCCGGTCTCCCGAAAGGAAGCAAGACTCCTTTCGAGTAACCCCTGCTAAAAGCTAATGGAGAAAGCAAGCACTTTGGAAGCAAACACTGAGCAGGAAGACGAGGAAAAGCGTTAGCCCTCAAAGTTGCCCAATTCCCTCCCCCGCCCCCACGCTACGCACGTCACGCCACGCCACGCCACGCCGATGGCATGGCGCCCCACCCGCCCCGTCCCAGCCAGCCCTGCCTCCCGCCTCGCCGTGCTGGGAATTAGCGCGGAGGCTGCTCTCACGCACTGGTGGAAGGAGAGGCCGCGCTCCCGGCTCAGCACGGTATCCCGGGTGCTGCAGCCCACTGCCGAGCAACTTCGGGTCATCTTCTTGCTACGTGGGGCTCCACCGTCGGTGTTCCCGCGACAGCATGAATCCTCATAAAGTTAGCTCCGCCTGCAGACACTGTGTCTATGACCTTTATTTGTCGAGAAAAGCGGGCTCTTAAGGCGCAGGGTTCCCACCCTTTCTCTCCGGGGGCCCTGCGGCAGTCTCTGTGGCCAATCACAGACCACGTCGTGTCGCAGCAGCCAATCGGAAAGGCCAGGGGCATTAAGACGCGCATTGGGCCGCCCCTCCCCGCTTATTGGAGGGTGGTTACTGGATTTAGCTGGCGTGGGCTCCTTTTCGTCCGTGCTCTCTGGTTAAATCCAGTGCCATCGCGCTTCTTGTGAGTCCCAGCGAGAGAATGCGAAGGGGAGAGGCAGGACCAAAGTTGAGGCGAATCCAGTGGCATGCCGATGGGTCTCCAGGTGCGAGCTCTGAAAGTGACGGGAGGATGTGACGGGAGGGACAGGAGGGAGAGGGGTAAACGCAGCGCCTTAGAAATATTGAAGACAAAATTGGACCCCGAATAAATGATTTACTGGGAGGCATGTCATTTCCTTGCATTTTATTTTCTTATAAATTTATTTATTTATTTTTGGCTGCATTGGGTCTTAGTTGCTGCGCGCAGGCTTTCTCTAGTTGCAGAGGGTGGGGGGCTACTCTTCCTTGCAGAGCGCGGGCTCTAGGTGCGTGGGCTTCAGTAGCTGTGGCGCACGGGCTTAGCTGCTCCAGGGCATGTGGGATCTTCCCGGACCAGGGCTCAAACCCATGTCTCCTGTATTGGCAGGTGGATTCTTAACCACTGTGCCACCAGGGAAGCCCCTTGCCTTTTATTTTGTAGTTCTCTGATGCAGAGATAATGTAGGGGCTATTGATATGGTTGACTGTTAGGTATGTGACCTCAGAGGAGCTTGAATGAGAATGTAATACCAAGATAAGTCGACTTTCAATTCAACTGACTCTTTCCTGCAAGATCCTTTGCCGCAATGGGGGAATTAAGAAGGGAATAAGGTAAGAAGGTCCTCAGGGTTTGGGGGTAAGCGCACGGTCTAGTTTGGACTCATCAATAGCAGTGCTAGGAGGGGCAGGAGAGAGGGCCAATGAAATGGTTTTGGTTGGGGTGTGGGGCATCCTGGATAGCTTTCAGGGTGAGAAGATCTTAGAACTATGTCTTCGTTAAGCTCTTTATGTTTACAGTATAAGATTTAAGTTTTCATAGAGGAAACAAAATGGGGCCAAGGTAGGACATAGTTTTTATTTTGTATCTTTGAAGAGGTCCTTAGTATATATTATGTGGCATCTTTCCTGCTTAACTGTAGAGGCCTATTTTAGGAAACAGAAATGTTCCTAACTTTTTTGTTTCTATCTCCAGCTGGCAAGAATGAGTCAGACATTTCCAAGCAAGATTGTTTTTTTTTCCCTTTTTGTTTACTTTATCCAGACTCTAGCCAAAAAGATTCATCTCGAGGTATTACTTATTCACGATTGCTTTCCATTATAATATGCTTATATCTTATTTGAATGAAATTAACATAGCTTTTGCTTATGTAGTTTTGTTAAAAATCACAAGGTCTAAGGATAGTACATGAATGGGGGAAATTGGTTCATGGGGGATGTACTTAACTTGGCTGTAAGATGTGCAAAGGGTAGGACCTGGATTTAAATCACTGTCAGCTGGTTAGACTATTAGAAGCTTTTTTAGCACTCAACCAATTAAATCCTGAATAAGGGTTAATAGAAATAAATAAGTTTTCAATTAAAAATTGGTTGCCTTATTTTTTTTGGCAAGAGTTTTATTGAGATATAATGCATATGCCATACAATTAAGCCATTTAAAGTGCACAATTCGATGGGTCTTAGTGTATCATGAATTGTGCCACCATCACCACAATCAATTTTAGAACATTTTCATCACCCCAGAAAGAGACTCCCTTTTCATTAGCAGTCACTGCTTACATTTTCCCTCCCCCAGTCCCTGGAAACCACTAATCTTCGTCTGTGTAGATTTGCCTATTCTGGATATTTCATATAAATGGAATCAGAAATTAGTCTTTTGTGACTGGCTTCTTTCACTTGGAATATTTTTAAGGTTTATTTATGTTGTAGTACCAGTACTTCATTTCTTTTTATTGCCAAAAAATATACCATTATATGAATATATACCACATTTTATGTGTCCATTCAGGTTGTTTTCCTTCGGGGGCTGTTACAAATAATGCTGCCATGAACAGTAGTGTACGAGTTTGTGTCGGGGCATGTGTTTTCATTCCTCTTGAGTATATGCCTAAGGGTGGAATTGCTGGGTCATATGCTAACTCATGTTTAACTTTTTGAGGAAATGCCAGACCTTTTCCAAAGTGGCTGCCATTTTACATTCCCACGAGCCATGGGCGAGGGTTCCAGTTTCTCCACATTCTCATGGGTGTGAAGTGGTATCATTGTGGTGGTTGCCCTTTTTTAAGGACTCAAAGTTTGTAAGAAACTTGCTAGAGGATGCTCCTTGAGTGCAGAGACAATGTCTGAGGTGAATTTGTGTTTTCAGTCCCTGGCGCGCAAATAGATACGTGTGTTTCTGCTGCATTGTTTCCTGATAATATGACTCACACATTATTCTGACAATATTCTTCTAATTATTAATTACAGATGAATTACAGAAAACTGCTATGTTGCAGAACTGATTTACTTAAATGTAGACCTGCTAAATGAAAATAACCCACTTACTTTACAGAAGCCACAAGGGGTCACTGCTCTTGGTATTCTTAGTGTACTTTTGGATAGGGAAGTATGCAGTCCCTTATAAATGGAATCATTGATTTTGAGTTGTATTTATGTATTTTTACATTTGCTTATAAGTTTTACATGCTTTTTGTTGCTATTTTTTATTGTTTTACTGGTGACATTGAAGTTCTCGATTTAATCATTTGATTACATCTTTGCTTCCTTTGATAACTTCATATCCAATGATTAAACCTTTTTTACTGCTGTTCACATAATGAACTGTTGTGATTACTGCATATGTAAATGAGGATATGTCAGCTGTATTAAAGATGTTATTTGTCAAAAGCATTGACCAGTGCAGAAAATAATTTAAAATAAAATATCTCTTTTCAGGAATTATATTCTTGGAGATGTTGGGAAAAGATTCCTGGGTCTTGGAAGATAATTACTAGAAATATGCAGGGGAGGTAGTATATCTTTCTTTTTTTAATGTATTAAGTATTCCTGGAACAAAAGCAGTGAATTGGAAGGGGAGGATTGTCCAAGTAAAAAATGGATTTATAAAGCCTTGAGTGAAATCTAATTTTCTGTTTTATGGTATAGAATCTCATTAATTGGTTACTTGGGGGAAAAAATAGTAACAGCTAATGCTTATTGAGTGGTTACATGTAAGACATTGTACTAAGTGTATTATACATACAGTTTTTTGTTTTTGTTTTAAACACTTATTTCTCTCAACAACCCTATGAAAGTAAATAGACTTTTTGCCTTCTAGGATTGGTATCATTCTTATTGAATACCTACCTTTTTGTCAGATTTTTAGCTAGTTTTACATTTATTTGTCATCTTGATATAATAAAATGTATTTCTAGTGACTGACATATTCTTGCTGAATTTTTCATCCTTTTAATTCTCTGGGGTTTTTTCTGCTTCAGAAAGCCTTGGGGTCTTGAAATTATTGGTGATTAAATATAAAGACAGTTCTGAACCTGGTCCTTTCCCAAGAATTTTAGACCTTTAGAGCTAATTTATAAGTTGTGCGTTTTAGTTTTTGGATATGGATTGTGACCTTCTGTGTTAGTTGTTTATTGCTGTGTAACAAATTACTCAATATTTGGCAGTTTAAAACAACAAACACTTACGGAACATTGGGGAGAGGAGGTAGAAGAGAGACAGCAGCTTCCAAACTGTCTCATTTGGCAAGCCTGTGTTCCCTGATGGCTGTTGGCTAAGGGCTTCAGTTCTTCTTCATCATGTGAACCTCTCCATGGGCTGCCTGAGTGTCTTTACCGCATGATAGCTGGCTTTCGGACACTCGTCCAAGAGAGAAAAGCCAAGATAGAAGGTTGTCTTTCAATAGTCTTGAAAGTGACAAAACACCAACAGGACCCTATCCTGTTGGTCCTGGTATGGTATAGATGGGCACTATACAAAGGTGTGACTGCTAAGAGGTGTAGGATCATTGGAGACCATCTTGGAGGTTGACTGCCACACTTTAGTTAAATACTTTTTTTAAAAAACTGTTTCAGTTTATTAAATCAAGAGATTTAATCTTTGACCCTCAAGTCAGATGAAGTATGAGAGCATATGATCCAAATGAGTGCTCTCTTTGCTATGGTGCATGGTTTCTTTCTCGCCTATGTATATATAAACTACTTAAGTGGTGCTACATTCATTTTGGAAAATTTCTAAGGAGTTTATAAGAAAGTTCAGGGCTACCCTGATGGTGCAGTGGTTGTGAGTCCGCCTGCCGATGCAGGGGACACGGGTTCATGCCCCGGTCCGGGAAGATCCCACATGCCGCAGAGCGGCTAGGCCTGTGAGCCATGGCCTCTGAGCCTGCGTGTCCGGAGCCAAAGAAGAAAAGAAAGTTCAGTTTATAGTCAGAATCTTCTGCCTTCATTAAATATTGTTTTTCTCGGACCCATTTCCCCTCTCCCAATTCCTCCTAGGTGGAGGCGGTTAGAGAAGCTGGTGGCACTAGACTATAGATAGAAATTGTGTGTCCCCTTCCTCTATTATTTTGCTTGGGGTTCAGATTGACTTGGAGGAGTTGACAAACCCTTAATGTTTAGAGTTTTTCAAGGAATGTAGTCCAGTTACTTATAGGCAGTTACACAAATATTTGACATAGGATGGAGTAAAGATAGAAATATGCAGCAGCAGACTTAGAGCAGTTTGCCCTTTTCCCCAAAAGCTTGATTTTTATCCAATAGGGTGAGTATACTTTCTTTTCTTTCTGCTACTTTCTCCCCCACCATGGGCTCTGTCCCTCTTAGTGAGCAAAACAGACTTTGTCAAGAAGTCAGAATGTTCCAAATTGGCAGAATTCTAATTAGTTCCTGAGATTTGTAATCTTTTGAGTCTTTTCCCATTATTACTGCTTAAAAGTTCTTTGTTAACAGAGACGACTTTCCCCCTTTTCCTTTAAAGCTTTAGTGCTTCTGATCATTGGAAACCTTGTCTGATAACAAAAACATTACATATAAAGCAAGGCATAACCAGTTTGGGAATGTATTAAGGTATAGTTACCCTTCCCATATCAGGCTTGATCTTGAGAAGACGACACCTCCAAGTTAGCATAAGGTAACCTGTGCAAAGTAGGTTGATATGCTTGAAATTATCTTTGTTATGGGTTTTTTCCAATCATAGTAAAATTGGAGGTCTTATCTGTTATATGTGAGAGAATTTAAAACTATAGAAATGTGCATTTATTACGTATTTTTTAAAAGGAGCTAAGCAATAAAAACTTTAAGGCTAGAGCTTAAGTTGAAAATAAGAAGAAAGTATAAATGTCCAATGATTAAACTTTTCCACTGCTGTTCACATCATGATTTGTTGTGATTAATGTATGTGGATGAGGACATAATGAAAAAAAATCATGAGGCTTATAGATAAAATGTGGTTTTTGTACATTGACTTGCCTGTAAATGTTTTTCATTTTAGGAATAAAATTGAAGGGTGTTTTTCTTAGAGAACACCATTTGTCCTATTTATCAGGAATTCGAAGACTTCTATAAGGTAAGAGGTTTATAAACTTTTCAGTTTTGACAAAAGAAGACAAAAAATCAAATCTGAGCAAAAAATTGGATATTGTATTCATTATATATTGAGCATAATGTAGATATCATATTCAATTAAAATTTTTCCTTATTTTTTCAGCTTTCGAAGATAACAAATACTATTTCAAAAATAATATAATTTTCCAAATCAATAGATTTAATACAGCATAGGCAGTTGGGTGGGTGGGGGGTAGGACTTTTAACCTTGACAGTCATCTTTTCTTAAAAATAATACAATTCTTTCAGGCCCTGAATTAGAGATCATATGTTCTGGGATTTAAATTTGCTGAATTATTGGATATTCTGTACATAATTGTTTGGTGTGCCAGTGGATGACCATCCTATAACTTTAGCTTTCTTCAAGAATAACAGATAGGCCAGTGGTCAGAAGCTAAGAATCTCAAATCTAATACCAGATTAATCTGTCATTAATCAGGCGTGTAATCTTGGGGTGTTTTTCAAATTGGAGGAATATAAAGCGGGAAAATTTTTGTGAATACTCAATGTTGATTTAAGTTAATTTTCTATTTCTTAAAGTTGATATAAACTTTGTTTATTGCCCTTAATGAAAAGATTTACAAAATAAATGCATTCGAAAACAAAATGTAAACATTAACGGGGTGGATGCTACTGTTTTGCAGAAGTAAACATAGTACTGGCTGCTATCCAGTAAATTTTGTGCCTTGTGCCTTGTGATGATTGTAAAGTTTTACAATCTGGACAGCAGTATGGTTGTCCAGAACTTTACTCTTTTGCAGACCTAAAGATTATTGAAATGAGGGAAGGGGGCCTAAATTCACAAAAGGATGTCTTTGGACTGTCTGCAAATCCTTATTTGAAGAATTCTATATTATATTACTTCCAAACATTCTTCTAGCTCCAATGAGTAATTCAGAGTCTTGGAATTAACATTCTTTTGAGAAAAACTGAAGTTTTTATTTGATCTAGGATTTGGCTTGGCTAAATTGGGTTAAAAGTTGACTGTTTTGGGCTTCCCTGGTGGCGCAGTGGTTGAGAGTCCGCCTGCCGATGCAGAGGACACTGGTTCGTGCCCCGGTCCTGGAAGATCCCACATGCCGCGGAGCGGCTGGGCCCGTGAGCCATGGCCGCTGGGCCTGCGTGTCCGGAGCCTGTGCTCCACGGCGGGAGAGGCCACAACAGTGAGAGGCCCGCGTACCACAAAAAAAAAAAAAAAGTTGACTGTTTTGTTAACTACCAATACAAGTTTTTCTTTTTAGATACAGGTAGTCCTTACTTTGCACCATTTCACCATGCGTGAATATCAGTTTTCACAATGTAGTTAAACAACAGCTGTCCCACAACAACACAGCTGAACTTTTAGTTGTCACAGTATTAACTGAATTATTGCATAAACTTTGCTACTGGCTCTTTATTGCAAAATCATTATGCAAAGATGTGCATCATGAACAGTAGCAGTTACATGACTTCTTTCAAAGTCTTGGTGATTGGTCACTGAACATCTATTAGTTACACACAGATAGTAAAGCATATACTTGTGTTGCCTCCTTGTCTCCTAGGGATAAACCCATGTGAGATTTTGCAAAAATAGAAAATCAGAAGACGGAATTGGTCAACAAATATGACAGAATAGCAAAGAAATGAAAAGTGATAATACTGGAAGTGAAATTAGATGTGGTTAGATTTGAAAATGGCCACAGCAAAGCAAAGATAGGATGAGACCTAGGCCTACATGAAGCTACAGTACAAGCCACATTTTAAAAGTCTGATGAATACAAAAACAATGTAAAGTTGCTTCAACATCTTTTCGTTTAAATTGTACTAGGAACAGAAAGCCGCTGATGGTTGAAATGGAGCATTTACTTCTTTGGATTGAGGACTGTAATCAAAAACAAATCCCAGTCAGTTTGGCATTGAAGTTAGTTGCTGCATTGAAGGAAAATGGTAATTACAAGGACATCTGTTTACTGCCAGTGAAGGCTGGTTTCATTGTTTCAGAAGTCAACATGAATTGATTAATGTTAAGCTACCTGGTGAAGCTACAAGCTCAGATAAGGATGCTACTGTGAAATTTGCACTCAAGATTCCAAGAATTACAGGCAGTCCTTGCTTTGCACAGTAGTGAGAGACTGTACTATGCAAAAAACTGCAGGATTTGGATGGGATGTAAATGGAGTTAGAAGATAAAGATGATCCTGGGAATGTTGACACTGGTGCCATTCAAGAAATAGTTCTAGATATGCAGGAGGCAGAACGTAGTGAAGGCAAATATAAAGTTTTACGTGAGTAAAGCAGTTGTAAAGGATGAACGTGTCTCAGAAGTCATGCTGTTGAAAAACTTCACATTGAAGGAACTTTCAGAGATGTTTCATGACATTGACGGCACAAAGGATAAAATTTTGGAAGCTGATTCAAACTTAGAAAGGAGTATGACAGTTTGCCAAGGCAGAGATAAGATGCACACTCCATGTTATAAGTCATATAATGTGAAGAAAGCAAGCACTTTTCAAACTACTTGATACATTTTTTATAAAGAAATAAAACATTATAATTTTCAGTGTTTCTAGTGGTTTGTTTTGGGGTTTTGTTTGTTTGGGGGGGTTGTTCGGTTTTGGGGTTTTTGGGTTTTTTTGTTTTTTGGCTGCGCTGCGTGGCTTGTTGGACCTCAGTTCCCCTACCAGGGATTCAGTCCGAGCTCCAGCAGTGAAAGCGCCAAGTCCTAACCGCTGGACCGCCAGGGAATTCCCAATGTTTCTAGTGTTTTAAATATTAATTTTACTATATTACATTTATAACCAACACCAGAGGGTTTTTAATGTTTTGGCAAATTTTAAGGTTACAGAATAATCATAGATTGTTAATCCCATAGATTAAGACTTTGCAGAGTTTCAGCTTGCATAGTCAAAGCCAGAACCGCCTGCATTTAAAACAAGCTAAGGAGTCTTTGTATTCAACCAGATATAAATACATCAAGTTGAGAAACCACTATATTTTAGCCTTATAACCATATATATTATAATTGACATTTTTCACATTGTCTTTGTATGCTACTACATCAAGTCTTTGAAATAAAAATTTATAATACTAAATGTCTCATTTGGACTTTGAGCATTAATCCATTTGTAGGTAAAATCCTGTCTAATAGAATAGGGGTTGGCAAACTTTACTGTAAACGGCCATATAGTAAATATTTTAGGCTTTGCGGGCCATATAGTCTCTAGCAAATACTCGTTTGCCTTTGTAGCACCAAAAACAGCCATAGACAATAACAAACCATTTAGCATGGCTCTGTTCTAGTAAAACTTTGTGGATACAAAAATTTGAATTTCATGTAATTTTCTCATGAAACATTTTTCTTTTGCCATTCTTAGCTCACAAGGGTCTATAAAAAGGGGGTTCCGGGGTGGAGAGGTTTGCAGTTTGATTTATGCAATAGGGACATGTAATTGAACTGTACGATTGTATACCAAAGAATGTAACCACTGCTTGCATCATTGAGTTTTGAGAAAGTTGTTCTTATGAATACTTTTCCATACCATTGCACACTTACAGGTAGTAGGGTGGGGGATCTTTGGGGAATGGGGCAGTAGGAAATTCAATGTTTCTTTTCACTTGACTCAAATGATGGTCCCACTTTTAAGTCAGGGATTTTTACTGACACCTTTTTAGGTAAACTAGTCCTTGCAGCGGTAAGTAAAAATGGAAGGCTTTTTAGAATTCTAGAAATTAGCAACTCTATCCTAAGACTCTTGAGCAGGTCTACTACAGCCCTACATAAATAAATTTGCTTTTTAAACGGAACCAGAAGTATAAAACGCTAAAAGGGTGTTGGAAGGAGCAGTGAGTACAAATGTGCCTACTGTCTTAAATAAGAGTGTTTGCTATATTTTGCTTTGTGTGTGCAAAAAAGAGATACTACTTCCAGTGAAGGTGTTTAGAAAAGACCCTTGACTGGTGTAATGGGAAGGGAACTATACAGGTTCTGTACTTTAGCAAGTGATTTTCCTCTGGCTTTGTTCGCTGTGAAATAATTCCTCCGTAAACTAGAAACAACATCCAGGCAACGCACTAATTAGATGCCAGGCTCTGGTGAAACTAGTATAGTTACAGTGACTGAAGGCAAATGCTAACATCTCAAATAGTACCGCAGGATACTAACTGGAATACCTTATTTACCCCAGTATGCCTCTTTAGAGTAACAAATCAAGTACGTCCACAACAGCCTTTGGGTATAAACAGATCCGTTTGGTTTTAAAGAAGTCTCAGTAAGCAATGCCGTAGAACCAAGTAAGCAATTTTAAGAGCCCAGTCACAGTTACAGTTGTTGCAATAAGGCCCTTGCAGCCCGATTTTCGGTGGCTGGTCGCGTTGGCAGTGCCGCGGGGGCTGCTGACGTTTCACAGGACCAGTGCTACGTGGCGTTCCTGTGGGCCGGGGCCCTTCCGCTAGGCAGCTACGCCCAGCAGGATTTTTCTTTTTCGCGTCGTCCTGGCCGCCACCACACGCCACCTCCGAGAACCGATCCTTAACCTCACGGGGGCGCGCACGGCGCGGGAGCGAGCCCCCTCCTCCACCATCGCTCCCGGAAGTGCCGTGGCCGGCCGCGCGCCGGGGCGGGCGGGGCAAGGCGTCGCTCCCGGAAACGTCGGACAGCCGGCTGGGCGGGGTTGCGACTGCCACGTTGGAGCGGAACGTGGAGGTGGCCCTGGGCAGGAGGAGGGGCGGTGGCGAATGCTGGGAGAGTCCGACGAGCGCGGCGCTACTGTAGGAACTGGTCGCCGGGGGTCCCCGCCAGGTGTGTCCGCCTGTCCCCTTCTTTCCTCTTTGAGGGCCCTGGCCCTTCAGGGAGAGCCTGGGCCAACGCTGGTATCCCGGCCTCGGTCTCCGCTGGTCGCCGCCAGCCTGCGGCCCGGCCTCTGGTGGAGGCGCGCCCGGGTCTTCGTTTCGGGCCCGGCGGGTCAACGCCTGGCGTCACGGCTG